ACTGCTCTGCATGAGGTGCTCTCACCAGGAGATGATGCCCTTTGTAAGGCACTACCTGGGCTAGGTACTGAGCACAATCTGAAACTTAGGCCCCTTGCATGAATCTCAGGATAGGCATCCCAAATTGCTGTCATTTCTTGTAGGAAAGTTGATATCCATCTGTTTAGTGCCTGCATGTATATACTGACTTTACACACAAATATATGTGTGTGTGAGTATACATATGTATCAGTGGATGTAGATAAACACACACTTGCAGCTTTTTGGAATCATCCCGTTCATCCAACGTAGTTGCTGTACCACATCTGCTTCTGAAGGGTGGGTGTTTATATGCTGAGGCCAAGGAGCCTGCATAATACTTTTAGCTCTGGCAACAGTCTGCCAGGTTGGCTTGGACCTGTCTTTCTCCCAGATGAGTTTTAATTCCTCTCTTTATAATTTCTTTGTGAGAACTACTTTTTGATCTGCCGTTGAAATGTGATTATATGAAACTCAGTGATTGTTGTCATGTAACTTATTTTTCTACTATATTTACATGTAGATGGTTAGTCAATGAATAAATCTGAAATTGATCATAAATAGTTACCATTAGCTTATATTCCTGAGCACTGGAAGACAGCAAATAGTTCAGGATTTATTAGTATATTCTAGTAGGCAATTATTTGCTAGTGCAGCTAAATCAAACTCCTGTCTGACCTGCACTGACGCTGAATTTCACATCAGCTGTAGGATTCTGCTCACCAAACTTCGCATATGTTACTGTCAGTTTAGGCTGCTTCTTCTGCAGATGAAGAAAGCCAAAACCTTTGGGAGTACACTTCTCTCCTCCTTCTTTAGGAACAAAATGTCCTCCATTCTCTCTCTCCCTGAACTTCAGAAAAGGCTGGGTGCCTGACTTACTTGTAATGAACCAGTGTAGGTGACATACATCTTAGGCAGTTAACTACAGCACATTGGTGTCTGGAAAATTTAGAAACATTTTTTAAAGGAGATAAAACCCTCAAAATAACCTTGGCTAGAAATATTGATAAAACTTGAGTGTCATAAAAGTGGTGTTGGGTATCTCATTTAGCAGTAAACTTATTTCAAGGTGATATAAGAAGTTATATGAAACAAATACTGAACTGTATAAAGAAACATTAAAGGTTTGATGAAGTAGCTTTGGTAGTTTTGAAGAGTGAGGTATAAAGAGTCTTTTGATTTAATCTGTGGCTGAAGCCCTATCATAATTGAAGACATGATCTTTTGTCACCAGTACTTCCTAGGAGTTTTCCTAAAAGCAGCTGGGGGCCCAGAAAAAAAACCCAAACTCTAAAGTGACCCATTTCAAACCATTTTGCATTTTTATTTTTTTCAGTAATTTGTATGGATCAAAATTCTGAAAAAATTAGAAATGTCCATGTAACGTTAGTGCTTCTCTGTGTCCCTGTGACCTTACCCCACACTGCCAAGCAGAATCCCAGTTTCCAGTGTAGAGGGAGAGGTGGCTGTTGCTTGGAAGTTTTGAAATTGCCTGCTTATAGAATAAGCTCTAAAGTCGCCCTTTGAGGAGGAGAAGGTTTGAAGTACTCCATAGGATTACAGTGACATTTGCTAGCATGTTCCAAGGAACTCATCACCAGTCTTAATGAAATATTTTTTTCTCAGTGGGATTCACACTGTTCATTCATTCAGTCCTTTGGCAGCTTGTACTCTTTGTTAATAAATACCAAAATGATAATCAGTCAGGTAGAATTCCTGTCCCCTCTGAAATCCATAGCAAAAGTCCCACAGAATTGAATGGAACAAGCAGCTTGAAAATCCTAATATTTTGTGCTCTACTTTGCTTGTTTTAATACTCTTAATCTCTTTGTTGGAAATGGACCATCTTTTTTTACCAGTGCTACAAACAGTTAATTGCTTTTCTGTTTCCAAGGCAAAGTATATTTTCCTATTTCCAAGGAAGATATCTTTGTATTTATTAGCCATGACCCATCCATACATTTCTGAAAGAACAGCATCTGTCATTAAGACCCACCCAAGATGATCAAATGGGTTAGGGGAGATTTCATAGTAAGTTTATACTGACAAAAACTTGCAGGTTCGAGAGCAGGCCTAAAGATTCTAATGAAACTTCAGGTATACAAAAAACCCTGAAGTTATACCATGGACTGAAATACAGTTGCTTGCCCATAGCAACTGAAACCCAATACACTCACCCCTAGCTAAAGGTCCTTCTACCTTCTAAGAATCTGTTTTATGAAAGTAATTATTTCTGAAAGCTGGGACTGAGAGAATGGAAAAAGTTTTCAAGGTAAAACTGCTGAATGTGCTAAGTGGGGAGATAGGAACTGCCAGACATGGGGACTTCCCAGGCCTTACTCCCTGTATTGTTTAAGCCCATTCAACAATTACAGACAGCTTGGCAGAGTTACAGTGATGATGTAAAAAAAATAGTAAAATCTTAAAAATTTGGGGGAATGGGTGTCCCAGATTTCTGTCACTGCTAACAAAAAAGCTGCATCTCATTTTAGAGCCTACACAACATGCTGGTGTAGCTGTCTCAGCCATGTGATATAAAGCCACATATTAAGAGAAAATATTAAGATAATTTGGTAACAAGACAAACTGCAGTGAGTCTGCCTCATTCATTCCCATTCTCACAGAGCTGCTGCTTTGCGTTGTGTGTGCAGATGTACAGATGTCTAAGTCTCAGATGGAAACAGAAAGCTTTAGCAAGAACACTCACGGCTGTGTGATCTGTAAAGCTCTCCTGTACATCAGCCTGCGGAACTATAGGTTTGCAAAGCAGATACATCTGGAAGATTTGCAGTGCCTGTCTGGACAATATGTGTTCTCTGATCAGTATGGACAAGAGAGCAGAATGCCATCTTGGAAGAGCAGTTGGAAGGGAAATAAAAAAGGGAAATGGGAAACAGAAAAAGTAAAGTTTGAAAATAAACGTGAAAAGGGGCCTCACTGGATTGAGGAATTTTTTGGCGATTAAGGCGCTGACTTCAGTGGGTATAAGGCCGTGATTGAAGAATCACAGAGCCCTGAAGGTTGGAAGGGACCCCAAAGGTCTCCAGTTTGACAACCTGAATCAAGCAGATTCCATTGGAGCAGGTTAATCAGGGCTTTGCCCAAGCTGAGTTCAGCCACCTTCAAGGATGAGGATTCCACATCTTCTCTGGGTCCCTGTTTCAATGTCCAGCCATTCCCATGGTAAAAAATATTTTCCTCGTATTGAGTAGGAATTTGGTATTGTAGCGTGCTTTCCTTATTGCACATCGCAATGAGACTCCCCGCTCATTCTCTTCTTAAGAACAAATGCAGTTCTCTTAGCCTCTCCTCATGTGTCCTGGGCTCCAGTCCCCTGACCAACTTGGTGGCCCTGCATTGGATTCACCTCTGTGTGTCCTTGTCTGTCTTGTATTAGGAGCCCAAAACAGGACACAATCCTCTAGGCATGGTCTCACCAAAACAAGAAGACAAGAATCATTGCCTCAACCTGCTGGCTACGCTCCTGCTAATAAAGTCCAGTTCTTTCTTTGGTCAGGGCTGCACTGCTGATGCAGTAATGTATTCAGGTTAAAGTTGTGCAATGGGACCCTCAGGACTTCTTCTGCAAAGTCAGTTTTAAGGTAGCAAGTTTTTGTCCTGTATGGGCTTTTTCCATCCCAGACATGGGACTTTTCATTTGATTTTTTTCCACTCCCTGAGGATTCTCTCAACCCGTTTCTCCAGTCTGTCTAGGTGACTCCAGATAGGAGCCATGTCCAGCAATGTGTGGACTATTCCCCAAGTCTAGTGTTACGTGCAGACTTGCAGAGAGTGCAAAGAAACCATATGCCAAAGTTCTTCATTGAGACAGGTAACTTCTCACTGAAGTCTTTACATCTTGTGAGCAGGATGTGAGGAGTTGCAAGCACAACAGCTTCATGGCATGAGCTTATAAGCAACTGGTGAAAAATAATTATTAACGTCACTGCAGTTAGTTCTCTACTGCAGAGTGAAGTTCGTACCACTTTATCGCTAGTCCATCATTGGATAGAGCAATGGAGGACAGTTTCTAAAATCTAAACTTTGGGCTGTGTTTTAGGATGAACCACACTTAAATATATAGACTGAGTAGGGGAAATGGTGTATCGTATGTCTGGGACAGCTCAGCCATCTGAGACAGTCTTTAACGATTGAAGTAGATTTCCCAGTCTGTGTATAGGAGAAGAGTTTATTTTCCTTTATTTGGTCTCTCCATCAGATGATTTCCAGTCTGATGTCACAGCTGTGTGATTTGTGTAACATATCCAGACTACTCCTTTTAGAGTTAATAGTTTCATTTTTGCTACCTTTCGGTTTTATTTCCCAAGCTTTTAACCCTTGGGGTGCTGCCAGAACTGTCACATTGTTCCCCTATTCTATGTTCACAGCCATGTTTCTCAGTATTTTCTTTCCCTTCAGAGAAAATTGTAGGAGCCTAGTAGCAATTCCCAAATCCCTAAAAAGTGATTAGTGGTTATTGTTCTGTAAGTGCCTAATAGGGAGATTAAAACAGGCCACCAGGTGTTTACACAATAACACTTGGTAGCATGGAAATTCAGCTCTAGTTATTACATGGTGTAAAGGGGGTAAATGCCTGCCCTTGGAGAAACCAGCAATTATTTTGATGCTTGTATTACACCTCATTTTCTCTAATAGATTGTGCGGTTTGGTTATTTCTTAACTTTTCATTCCCTGATAGGGATTTGTCTGTGTTTCACTTTAGCAGGATTGATCTGTAACCACAAGATCAGTTTCTATTAAAGGTGTTTTTCTTGCACAGTCAGTTGACTGCAAAGCTGCATTTTTAGTCCATCCCTTTGTATCTAACATGGCATATTTGTATACAGAAACAATGGAAGGGGGCTATGCTTCACACTGCAGGTTTTGAAATAAGTGATGGCAAAATAGCTTAGAACCTAGAGCTTGCTGCTCTTCTGCAGCAAATTGTGTCATTCACAATGTCTTTTTTTCTGTTTCAGGAGGTTGGAAGCATTATTGGAAAGGTGAGAAAATTACTTTATTTATATTCATGTCAAAGTATTGCATATCAGTTCTCTTTTTTAGCCCAGGCTAACGTTTTTTTCTGTTTCTTTAACAGAAAGGTGAGACAGTGAAGAAGATGAGAGAGGAGGTAAGACAAGCCTTGATGTCTTCACTTGCCTTTCTTTCCAGCTTGGAGAACAGGGAATTCAGCATATGCGGACTGATGCTGCCATCAAGTGGGCAGTTAATTTAACATCACCATTCTTAGCAAGCGGTGGTGTATAAATATGCTGGCCTCAATTAAACATTGTTGTTAATGTAACCTCCTTATCGCAGCAGCAGTCTGGAGTCTTTCATTCCCACAGCGATATGTCTGCTGCTGTCTTATCTCAGGAACAGCTTACCTGCATTATTCTGTTGGTCAGGCCCATTATATCTTTCATTAGCATACCAACATCGGTCCTGCATGGGGCTTGGCCTCCTCCCAGGCAGTTTCCAAAAATCTGAAACCAAGCATTAGACTGATGCACATCAAGTTTGAGGGTAGACACAAGCTTATCAGAGCTGGAGACAGACTTGTGTAAGCCAAAGCATCCATCTGCCATGTCTTGGCAAAGCCTTAACTCTTCCTCAGTTTGCATCTTTGAGTAGGATGTGGGCAGAGTAGACCTGCACACCTGCCATTCACGTCCTTTGAAAAGGTCATAGACACAAAGTGATTAACTAAAACAGGGCACTGCATAAACCTCAGTCTCCCCATTGTCTACAGGTTTCTTTCCCTGCCACAGAGCAACCTGCGCTGTCTTCAGAGGGGTATGCGCAGGTGGAGGTTACAGACCCACACTGGTCTGCAAGGCATCACATCTTACCTGGAGATCTGGGTCATTTTTCTTCATTGAAGCTACTGTTAAAAGTCAAAAGACTAAATCCTACTGTTTAAAACTTTAGGAGTAGTGTATAGAGAGGATGCCTCAGGAAAAGTCAGTTTGGTTCTAGTAAAGGTGCAGTACATTACTATGTCAGTTGCTTTGTTGTTTTATCCACTGATAGAAGGTCTGTGGCAGGAAAATGTCAAAGTATTTTAGTAGAGAAAATTGCGGACATCCATCTTTAAATATACACAATAGGGATTTCATTGTCAAGCTAACTGAGTTCAGAGCTCCTTTTTTGACCATAAGAGCTTTCACCCATGTTTTCATACATAAGTACATTTGCTAAGACTTAAAAAAAAAAGGTAAGAAAAAATGTTTCCAATATACTAGGTAATCCTACCAGTTGATTAAACACATTTTAGTTTAATTATTAATTATGACCATGAGCCAGATATCTGTGGATATAAATTGCATGCACAGAAGGGAAGTCGTAATTGGAGAGTGTTCCTGACTTCTGAGTTAAACATCTTAGAGAAGAGTTATGATCCTTGGTTTGTCTTTCAAGATAAATATCAATTGTTCTTCTTCCAGTCCTGGAAAACACTGTCATGTATCTGTGGTCAAAAGGCGCTGTATTTGTTTGGTTGTTTTTTTAAAATAATGGAATTATAAGCATCTTTATATCAGCAAAGCGCTAAGAGGCTATGTCTCCACATCATGGTAACTTGGTCCCCCTTTAAATTACTACTTTCTGCAATACTTCTTTAAAAGAAAAAAGGCAACCTTTCTTTTGGCTTTCCTGACAGATGTGGCATATTGCATGCCATCTTTATGATATAAAATGTGACTGCGTCTTACTCTGTCATTCGGGAAATGTCAGGGACAACTTCAGGCCTAAAGAAAAGTACAAAACCCGCAGTTCTGTGCCCACGTCTGTGGCAGCACGATTTTTCTATCAGTAGTCTTGGGCTTCATTTTGTTCTTATTGTGTGTGGGTGCTTACATATGTGGAAATACGGTCTTTTGCTGTAGAGAAGCAGTGAGGGTGGGAATAAGGTCTGGGACACACAGCACATCAGGTGCTCGTGGTGACCCTGAAGGCAAAGGGCCATATTAACCCAGGTTGTCCCACATTTGCTTCAGGCCCTGATCCCCAAGGTCAGTGCCTGTGGATGAGTTGAGGCTCCAGTGACTTGTTAGGCTGCATTAACACATTTCCATGCCTGAAACCTCAGGGAACATACAGAGTGGGTCTTACCTGAACTGGATTTTATCATTATCTACACCAAGATCCTCATAAATAAATATATATCAAAATACAATATATAAAACCCCGTGGTTTAGGGATTTTCTCTGTGATACCACAGTAGCATAAAGAGGACTGAGTATACCTGAGAGCCATCCTGGCTGTCTCCAAGGCTTATCAGTGCATATTGATTGACTGCCTTCACATGAGACACATCCCTCTATAAGGAGCCTTCTCCATAGTGTAAAGTAATGCCCCAGCTGGAGAGGTCAAACCCTGCCTTTGAGGCTTGAAACCTGAGAGTTGCATCATTCCTGGGAGATATTGGTGCCCCCTGGAGACAACCACCTTGTCTTAAATTCTGCAGCTGCAGTCCTACTTGAGGTTAATCCTCCAAGAGGGAAGGGAAGGGACCTGATTATGCAATTATTTGCAACTTTTGAGTTACAGAGGTGTGATTTGCATATTGCAAAGAAGGCTGTGTAAGTATTTACTCTGACAGGATCCTGCTTCCCGCAGTTAGATGAATTTTTGAAATGAGATCAGTTTATGCTGAAATTATATGATGTTGGGGCTGCAGTTGTAGGGGAGGGAATTAGATGCCTCAAGATATTCCTTCCCAAACTATATCCCTAATCCTGCTTAGTTTGCTCCCTGGGAAGTATAACTTTGAAAAATATTTGTTCCTTTTGACAGAGTGGTGCTCGAATCAATATTTCAGAAGGCACTTGTCCAGAGAGAATTGTGACAATAACAGGCCCAACAGATGCAATTTTTAAAGCTTTTTCTATGATTGCACTAAAATTTGAAGAGGTAAGCAAATAAAATATGGGGGGGGCTCTCTCTTCAAGTTGAAATACAAACACTGTTTGAATTTTCTCATGTTTGCTTTAATGTTAAATAGGATTTGTTTAATGTTCTATTTAATAGCAATGAAAGTGGTTGTATTTTTATAAATGCTTTTGGCAGCAATGCTGAAGAAAAATAATGGGTCAATTTACAAGCTGTTTGATCATTTCTTTTGCTTTTTGGAGGCTTCAGGGAACAGCAATTGCTTTTAGTAATGTGCACTAATGGTAGGAAAAATGTCTTGTAAAAATTCTAGTCCCATTGTGGGTTTGATTTGAAAAGAATAATTGCCTAACTTTTAACTTTGTTTTTATGTAAACCCAGCTGGTATTGATGTAAATTTTAGATACGTCAAAATGAATATATAACTCATTTAACTAAAAAATTTTTATTTTAAAAACAAAGTGTATGATTTCTACTTACTATATTTAAAGCTTGGCTTTTAAAATCAATTAAAATAAAGGCACTAAGGGAAAGTAAGGCAAGAGTGCAATTCACTGTAGAATAATTGTTCTGTGCAGATACGTACGTAAAGTGCTGAGATCTCCTTTAGTTTCCTGGACCAACTACAATTAGATATGGTCACCACTTTAATCAGGAACCTCACAGAAAAGACAGTAGAGTACAGAACACGAACTCTGGTCACTCTGGAGAGGATTTAATTCCCTCTACTTTTGAAAATCATATGTCTAGTCCAGGCATCTCTCCTGTCATTTCTGGAGAGACAGATGCTCTTGCAGAAAGCAATTCACCTTTTCCTAAAGGAAGAGCCTGCAGACAGGTGGACTGAATCACCTACAGCAGAAGAAAGGGGCTGTGTCTGTCCAGAAAGGATTAAACTAAAGGGATGTTAATCCCTTTCTTCAGAGTACTTATTTTTCCGAATCAGTGAGGTTAGTCTCCACATCTCCCCATAGCACTGGAAGGTGCTGACATTGATGAGAAATGTCAATGTGTGCCTTTATTTACCCGTGGTGATTGCTGATGTTTAGAACAACAGAAGAGAGCTTATAGGCCATCAGATGCAGTTGTCATCTAGCATAAGCCATATGACTTGCAACTTGCAACTTCACAACATGATTAAAAACTATTTTGAATTTTTACTACTTCCTGATCCTGGATCCACGACTTCGGGTCTCTCATAATCTGACACTTTCTTTTCACTCCTCACCTGAATTTATTCATGAACAGTTTATGCAGCTTTGTTTCTGTGCTAGCACTGGCCACTGGTTTAAATAATTCTTGCCTTTCCATCCCTGAGGATTCCTCTCTTAGAAGTGTTTTTAGAAACTGATTTTATCCCCACTCCTCTCGTGACTGTAGTAGTCCCTCTCTACCTGTTTCCTGTTACAGTTTGTGTTTAATGTGTGCATTAATTGTGGACAGGTTACAAATGAAGTTCCACAAAGGCTTATTTGATTGCACTAACAGTCTGCCATCCTAGTTATCGTGATCACACATCTGTACCACTTCTGGAAATGCCTCACCTCTTACTAGTGTAGTGCTTTGCACACAGCCTTGTGCCTAGTGGGTATCCCCAGCTCCTGCTCAGGTGTTTTCACCTCTTCAGTCTTGGCAAACATTCCTGTCAGCCCCCGGACAAATGACCTTTTTTTTTAATATTGCAGATGTTAATCCTATTTATATTTCTTCCATCCTTCATGGTTTTTCAGATCTTCCTGTGCGATATCCCAGTCTTTCAACATGTTGATAAAATATCTTCGGTTTGTGACATGGCACATTTTACAAGAATGCTAATTTTTTTTCTTGCCTGTTATTAATAAAATAATAATGATTTTGAGGTTGAATCCTGCAGAACCACACAAGTAATTCTGTCTAACCCAGTTTTAGTACCACCTATTGTCATCTCTTCCTCATCTCTTATCTCCTACCCATCTTGAACCAATCCCTGTTTCTTCTAGCTTAAGAGGTAGCTTTGTGTACAGTACCATACCCTCCAGTCCACAGAGTCCTGGAGAGAGCCATCTCTCTGCTCTCTACATGAAAAACATGTTCTGCATAGGGCCTTATCTTGAAAAGTGCTGAGGGAATCATTAACACAGATAATCCTTGCCAGTTTCCACCAAAATGAGTACCCAGTGGAAATAATGCTGCATTTTTCATAAAAACATCAAACACTGCACAGCATCAGATCCCCAGCCTACCACCCAACGCGATGTAGTCTTTGAAAGTGCTGTAGATAGCAGTAGGAGAAGAAATCTGAAATTCAGTCATCTGGATGGATTTTATGCATATTTGCACTAGCAGAGTTTAGAAGATAGTCTGGACTCTTCATATGAGTATTAGCAAAGGAGTATTGACACTCCTTGCAAATCAAGTACTGCCATTATAAGTTTTGAAATATCTGTATTTAGTTTTAAACATAATTGGTTTGTGGTATATTTAAAAGAACAGCAGTAAAGAAATATGTTTCATATGATCAGTTAGGTTTCCTATAAATCTTCCTGTCAATAAAATGAGGTAACTGTAACACTCTGGAGGCAAAATAAAGTAGTGTTTCAGAAATTACAAATAAGCTAGCTACCAAATGCTATTTTTCATGCATATCTTTTTGTTGGAGATTTCTTCAGTCATTTAAAAAATTCAGTCCAGCTCTGGCTATTGCAGCTACATTCAAACAGAAAAAAGAAGGTGCATGTGTGAGACTGCTGCTTTGAGGAATTTTTTTGGTATTTTTTATGCACGCCCCAGGAAACATTTTGACGTGAAGCCCTTGAACCCTTAATTTCAACCCCTACAGCTGTATACCTGGGGATAAGGAAGGGCCTAGGAAGACATGGAAGCCTTGGAATGCCTTTCAACTGTCAGTAAAAATCTCAAAATGTGTCAGATAGATAGAAAAAAAAGAAAGGTGTTCTCGTTGAGGTTGCTCTGCAGCCTTATATCACTCTGCTTTGACCACCTTCCTAATAAAAGGTGATTTTCTAGCAGTCTTAGATGAATTTACAAGCTCGGTAGGTAATTACATAAATAATTTAAGTATCCACTGCAAAGGAAAAAGAGAGTTGTTAAAAAATGACAGTAGCCCAGGCAGACCACTGGAATTGCAAGAGAGGACATTTTAGAGCAGTCATTTCTAGACTGGAGGCTGAGACCTGAGAAATGCAGCTGGAACTTCACTGGTGAGTTGGGCAGCTCTAGCTTTGCTTCGAAGTGTATAATCCACGGGAAACACGTGGTAGTTAAGCACTGGAGTAACCAGCAGGTACAGCTCAGCTGGCACTCCCAGCACTTCCAGGCTCCCATTTAGCCTGTGCAGGCTGAGGAGCAGCCCACCAAGCAGGCAGAAAGCCATGCGAGGTCCAGCTCTAGTGTCTGACCAGAGCCTTGAGGAGATGGATGCAGTGCCACAGAAAGAGCCCTATTTGGGAGTCTTCAGTTCTGAAGGGGATTTTTTTCTGCTCATTTCTCTTTTGTCATGTTTTTAGGCTGGACTGACTCCTTTATGCACTCCACACTGCTGAGCCTGCATATTTAGATTTTGCTCTTTTTAAATGCTGAGGAGAAAATTAAGAGAATACTGGCTTTCAGTTTTTGCAAAGTGCTTTTGAAAGCAGCAAGTGCAGCAAAGGCTTTGAGGCCAGGCCACAGATTGTGTGGAGACATTATCACGGTTGTGCTGTGTGGCTAAAGAGGGTTATTTACCTACATCTGGATGATCGTGTGCCTGCACCTGCCACAAACATGATATAGTGAGATGACATCTTCCAGCTGAAAAATCCGCATGACTTGGCCTTTATTTCAGATACATGGGTGCTGCAAAATTTTGCTATCCCTCTCACTTTATTTTGGAATGCAGTCTCTCACTGACACAGGCACTAAACAAAATGTGAGTTACTGCTGGCTGGCAGAGGAATGATTGTCACATGCAGCAGTGCTTCATTCCATGCAAGATTTTTTTTCTTCTCTTTTAAGCTGAGCAAGGTCATCCCAAGCCATTTCTTGGACAGAAGAATGCTGCCATCAGAGTTGAGGAGGTACTGTAGTGATCAGTGCTGGTGTTACTGGGCTTCCACACCAGTTCAGTGAGACATGCAGAGTTGCTTGAAGTACTAAGTAGTTTGTTGGATATTTTTTTTAATTTAAGGTCCTGACTGCACAGTATAGGCACTTTTTTTTGTTTTTCTGACAAGTGATAAGTGAGAATGTAGGGAATCATATCAGTTCTGTCTGCTGGAACTCGTGTTGCATCACAAATGAGTTAAATTAGTACAAAATGCACGTTTTCTCATTCCTGTCCAAATCTCTTGGGTAACATTTCTGTGAAAGGTATAATAGCTGTGCCCTGCCACCTCACAGATGGATGAGACAGTCTTTCTAGTTCATAGCTACTGTTACCAAAACACATTGAGATTCTTACGAGTTGTTGGACAGGTGCCATGCAACTTGTGGCTTTTTATTTCTGTGATCCTAAGTCCCCTTAACAGCATCCCATTGATCAGTGGGAAGATAAGCTTTGTCTTTTCCTCTGTGATGAAGCCTTTAGGGGGATTGTTTTGTATTGCCTAGAAGATTTTCAGCAAAAAAAATATATTTAAAACAGTTTAAACCTTGCAACAAGTAGTATATTGAGATGCTCATGAGAATGTATAGCGTAGTCTCGTTGGATAATGAGATACACAGATATATGTTACATTACCTGGATACAGGCAATTGCTGTTCTGTTGAGCATTTTGTACTCTGGTTACATAGCCATGATGGAAAAGATTTTGAAACTGGGTAGCTCTGCAAGTGCTTATGGATCTGCTACAAAAGAGAAATTATATCTAGGGGGCAGCAAAATATTTGTCAAACTAACCTGATTTTCTCTGCTTCAGATTATTCACAGGTTCATTGTCATTCCCTTTTTTAATCTTTGTCTTTTGTACCAAATCTGAGAAGAAACTCTGTGAAATGTAAAGACATATCATATAATATAAAGATTCTAATTGAGGTGGTGAAAAAGAGACCAAAACAGGACTTGGAAGCCTGTGAACACAAAAGCCTCTTTGCCTTTTTCATCTGTTTGGGCTGGTCTAATGACAGATACCACCTCCTCCGCCCTGTCTTGCCCTCTGACCCCACAGCATGGACTTGCAACGCCAAACAGCTGAAGGGTTCCTCTGGCACAAGCCGCTTGTGTGGCTTGTATTTACGGTGTATCACCACCAGAGCCAGTGGTTTTACCCACCACAAAACAAACTAGAACTGGTTGCATGCTCCCCAGGTCTCCACAGGCATTTTCTCTGAGCCCTTCAGTGCTTACCAGGAGTGACAAATCCCCCGCTAATGCTCACTGACATTGTGATTACAGGACATAAACGCTTCGATGACGAACAGCACGGTGACAAGCAAACCGCCCGTAACGCTGCGGCTCGTCGTCCCGGCAAGTCAGTGTGGATCCCTTATAGGAAAAGGAGGTTCCAAAATCAAAGAAATCAGGGAGGTAAGTAGGTCATGGGATGTCTGCTGGGGACACTGGCTAGCTCAGCATCCTACTGCAGCATGCCCTGCCAGCATCACCCACTGCACTTTGCTCATCGCACCAGCATGAGCATGAGCGAGTGAAAAAACTGTAAAAAACTTGCTGTAGGAGAAGCAGTGGGTCCAGCACAGCTGGACCCTTGTACTGTCCTTGACACTAAAGACCATGTGTGAAATAGAAAAACAGCTTTACAATACATAAAGCCCTTGATGCGCAATTTAGTAAAACAACAGTAACAGAAATGGATCTTCGAGTTTCTCTTCAGGCACAGGCCCTTCCCCAGCCATACTCAGGTTATCCCAAGTCAGAGAGTTGCAGCCATTTCCAAATTAGTTACCGTGCTTGCAGACAGAGAAAGACCAGGTAGCACTGGGAAGTCCAGGTTCTACTTTTTAGAAAAGTATGATTTTCATGCTCCTGTTCTGTTTCTCCCTAGTGTTAATGTGCCACAGGTGAACTGGTTTCATGTATTACAAACACATATTGGGGTTTTTTTTAATCCAAACTTTAGCTAAGGTATTCACTTAATGTGCTAGCAACCACTTTTTCCTCTAAACAAAAAATGCAAAAATTATCGTACTTTGCCAGTTTTAATTCTTCCGTGCATGACTGTAACAATATGGCACATGCCAAGCCAAGGATTTGGTGTTTGTAATCAGTCATAGAAGAAAATTAGGAACATGCTTAGTTATATAGAGAAAATCTGACTTGGAAATTTTAGAAAAGTGGATTATTAGTCTAAAGAAAGTGACAGTATTCCGTCTAAATTTGTATTCATTCCAACAGAGAATGAAGTGTTAAATATTAAGATAACATGTTGATCCATTTTTTTTTATTTGCCTGTGTCAAAAAAACCCACTTTTGACAGGCTTTACCGTGTTCCTTTTTTATCTAAAATGTAGATTCAAGACAGTAGGTTTTATGAAGCTTTAAGTTGATTTTTTAGTTGTATTAAAATTGGAGCAGGCATGAGTGTGAACTGTGTGCTAGTGAGTACTTAGCTCTAGGTTTTGCAGCTTGGATTTTATTTTAAGTATGGGTAACTCCATTGAGAGTACTGAAAGAATGCATTTAGGACATAGGATTTTAAAGGTAAAATTGGTCTGTTGGTTAAATTAAATGACTGAAATGATTATCCTGGTAAGCATAGTGTCATAAGCAATTACCTTTAGTCTAGTACAAGGAAGTAAAAGGATAGTGTTTGGCCAAATAGGTGTTTTGATAAGGCTAATGTAGCAAGAAGTCACACTACACATTTTCTTAAGCATAATGGACAAAATATTACTCATTTTTTCATTGCTGATGTATGACCAAAAAGACTGGCACTGGAAGCAAATGCATGAATGACTCTGGCAGTCTTTTGTGCTAGATGTACACATACCCAGAAATGTATGTTAAAAAGCAATTTGATCATCACACAACACACAGAATAGCAGTTGCACGAGGGATGGTCTTTTGTGTTCAGTCGTGCATCCAGAAACAACATGGAGGGTTGCAGTACTATTTTCAAGATAAGATTACAAAAAGAAAAAGAAAAATAAAGGCATGATGATTGATCAAATTATGGCAAAATTCCAAAGCCTATTACAGAGCAAGGAATTGATATTTTGGCCTTAAAAAGCAGTAGTGAATAGAAGATACAATCAGTAATTTAATCAGTCTTTAGAAAGAAGAATAACGTGTTGTGTGTAACCAGCAGGAAAACAAATTAACTCCTTGCTGACTGACATGAAGTCAGTGGTTACTGAAAATACTTTTTTTAAAAGCCCCAGATACTGCAGTACAACAACAGTCAGGAATAGATCTTTTTTGCAATATGTGGAAGACCTAACTCAATATCAAATGCCTGAGGTTTTTTCTAGGGATTAAAAAGGTCTTCCATGTTTGTGAAATAATGTCAGCGTTTGTTTTGGTTACTAGTATTTTTTTCTTTCTTTGGTTTTTTGTTTGTTTGTTTGTTTGTTTGTTTGTTTGTTTTGGTTTAGTTTTGGTTTTTTTTGTTAACTAACACACATTAGTGCCAAGATCAAATTTTAAAAAATAAAAAAACTCAAAAGTGGCTCATTACCTCCTTGAGCTAAAAGTTGATGATATGCATATATTTAATCAACACTAATTATAATTTAGAAGTGGTTCTGTACCATCCTGAAATACAGCATAAGGCAGCCTCAGATTTCAACAAGCAACACAAATCAACCATCAATAGATTAAAGAGCCATTTATCTGAGACACATTTGATTAGCCAATCTTCTTCAGTTATTGGTATTTTTTTCCTTTCATTTTTTTATTATTGAAAAGTACTTCATTTCACGTTTTTAACTTTTTAGTCAGCATTACAACTGTCTGTCTTCAAGAGGGTTAAAAGACTTCTCCTGAAATTCAGGTCACAATTTGATTCATTAACAGCTGCTAAGGACTAATCCTCCTAGGATGGGAGTGCTGGCGAATTGGCTTGAACAGGCAAATCCATGTCCTACCAGACCCCAGTGTGGGGATGAGTTTTACATACACGCTCTACCACGTGTCTAGGAAAGAAAAGACAAAAAGTTTAGAGGTGAATGACTGGGTTTGGAGAGGTGCCATTTCCTCGTGGTGACACTCCCTTTGCTTTGTCTCTGCTCAAGTCCACAGGAGCCCAGGTGCAGGTAGCAGGGGACATGCTGCCGAACTCGACGGAGCGCGCAGTGACTATCTCGGGCACTCCCGACGCCATCATCCAGTGTGTGAAACAGATATGTGTGGTTATGCTGGAGGTGAGTGAGCACTTGGCATTTCACCTCTCACTCGGGAGCTGCTCAAACAACAGTATTAATAATTTTTAATTGCCATGGGCTCCCCTGGGGTACTGCCTGCCCTTCCTGTGCTGGGAATTTCCAGAGGGCTCTGTTAGACTGTGCCCTTCTGGGTGTTTGAGATCCTCTCGCAGCAGGGATTAGCAATCAAAGATCAAGGCTGTCATGTCACTGTCAAACAACAACCAGGTCCAGCACGGAGCTGCAGCTGTTCTGAGAGAAATGCATTTTATTCTGATGCAGAATAGGGAAGAAAACCCCTAAGTCTTGTTTAAATAGAAATAATTCTGACTAGTCAGGACATTCCTTAGGGTCAGGTCATTGCATAAGGCCAGAATGTTTTATTTTGATGACAGGTTTTTTAGCTCTTAGTTTAAATAATACAAAATTAATTTATGTAAAAATCCCCTTGCTGAAAATGCCCATAATTTCATGCAAGTACATTTCTCAACTGAATGGAAATTTGTAAAAAAAAATTTTAGCAAATCAAAATTAAGTATTTTGACCTAGTAATTTTTGACAATGAACGTGAAACATCTCTGCTTTTATCACATTTTCCACTGGAAAATTTTCTGTGGTTTTTAGGTTTGTTTTGCTTTTTACATAATCTAGTCAAGGGCTGTCTCATGGTGACCTCTGACACCCTACTGTTTTGTTATTCTTTAAGGAGGGGAGAAACAGTGGAGTATCTGAGACAGCACTACAGCTATTGGCTGTTCAGGAGTATGCAGTGCATCAAAATGACATAGAGCCTTTGCATTAAAATGTCATACAGCCTAAATGCAAATAAAAGCATAAAATCCAATAAATCCCCAGTGTTTTACTGGGGAAAACTGACTCTTCCTTCAGTTTTTTTCTGGACTACTGTGAGGAAGGGATTTCTGTATAAAAATACAAGAGAATAGAAACTAATATGAAGGCAACAGTTACCAGCTTTGTAACTACTGAATGTAGTCTACTGTCTAAGTGACATTGGTGGAATAAACAGTTATTTAGTAAAGAAGAAGAGAGAAACTGCTTCTCAAAATCAGAGAGACACAATCCTATTTCTCCACGGGTAGAGCCACTTTTTAAATAGCCAGCTTTCACTTAAGAGTACTTAATTTTAGGGTTAGGCAAATAGCAAGCAGCACAAAGAGGACACTGGCTTAACTGCAGTTTGCTGCTTCAAACATTTAAGAACACATATGGGCTCTAATTTGTAGCATATATTTAATTTGGCAACAAGCACTTTCATTGACATGCAGTAGCTAATTATATGATACCAATTCATGGACACACAAATTGTTGTAACCTTCTCTAGTTGTAGTCAGCACACTGAAATCAGGGTACCATTCTGCTAGGTGTTCCACAGACAGCTTGAAGCCTTTTTTGCAGACACATGCTCTTGCTTTACTTACGAGGATAAAGTTAGCCTCAGTCAGGGGTTTCCCCTTGGGTTCTTGCCTTGGGCTACAGGGAACAGGTCCCCTTTTGATGCATTATAGACCATCGTTACACTCCTGCTGAAGGTGAGAAGATTTTTCTCCAGCCTTCCAGCTCAGTCAGACGAAAGGCAGGATCAGGCTGATCATTTGCAATGGAACAGCTGACTTAATTGAGTTGGTAAAAAAGAAACCTTGAAGTGTAAGCAGTATGGGAAAGATTGATAAGCAGGAGATGGGCTCTCTGTTAGCAAAGCAGGAGGTCAGGCTGGACTCTTCCAAAACATTGACAAATTTCAAAATTGTGCCCGTGTTTCCTGAAATGCCTTGGCATGCTTAATTAAGCTTCAGAGCTTCATCTGACAGTGGCAGTAGTGAACCACAAGTGTCACCAATGCCTGTTTTGGCTGTGGAGTAGGTCCTCGACTCTTCCCCTGAAAGCCCAGACAGGAGGCCTCTGGCATTCTTTTGATCTGATGGGGTGGAGGACAGGGTGGGCTGGGTTATCTGCATGCCTTGTTGTCTGAGGTGACCAAAATAAAGAGAGATTTTATTAATACAAGATCTGCTTCATTCTGCATTTTGATTGCTTTGTGTTTTTGTCTGCAGTCCCCACCCAAAGGTGCCACCATCCCCTACCGTCCCAAACCTGCCTCTGCACCTATCATTTTTGCAGGTGGCCAGGTAAGAGCAGACACCATTTTGGCTTCAGCTGGAAACCACACCGTCTTGGCCCAACCTCAGCCAGCGCCTGTTAGTTTTCAACTTTTACTCTTTCTTGCCTGGTATAGTATTGATGTGCTTTGTCTACTCTGCGTGCTTACAGTTTGCAGGACGGGAGAACACTGCATTGCAAACTTGATGCAAAATGTGATGACTGGTATTTTACCAAGATTTAAAATTGAATTCTTTAATTAAGAAAAGTTTGCCCTTCTGTGAATTGAGAGGTGTCCAAATCAGATGCTCATTGAGTGGGACAAATCTCCTTATTGTAGGGTCAGTTTTTTGACTCTTAATTTGTAGCTCCACTAGCAGTATAAGCAGTTTTGTCAGTTTTCAGAGATAATCAAACAGCAGGACATCTCTGCTCATGAAAGACATAATTTTTCTCTCATAGTTTTCATATTTTTTGGGACCAAATAGTGCGTTTTGCAGTAAAAATTTACACGCGCACAATGTCTGCTGTTTGTAGTCCCTTGGGACCAAGTAGCAATGGGTTTCTGAGGTTGCACGAACTACCTACATGCAAATGTAGACCTTACCAACCACGGCATGCAACAGCCTGATTGATAACATAAGAACAGTGTTCCTGTTTCTTTTTTATGCAAGGAAGTTTTGATGATTCCCCCTTCATGTTAAGCTATATCAGTCAGGATTCTCATCTGCCTTTAGAAACCCATGTGCAATGTGATTCTTCTGTGTCTTTTGGTAATGCTCTGAAATGAGTGTTCAACATGTGGCTGAGACATAGCAGAAATTTCTCTGCCATCATCCACTGCAGGGGGAATGCAGCTGTAGTCACTGAGAAGCCAGTGATGAGCACAGTTGATAAGTACTCTGGAAAACACCGTGGGAGGCTCACAAGGGAACCTGTATAGCTACCAGACTATGGGCAGTGGTGGAGCAGTGAAATGCTGCAACCCTGTCCAACTCAAGGGGAAATTGATCCCCTAAACCCAGCCTAAAGGAAGGCAGCCATCTCTCTACTCAGGATTCACATATGTAAAGCCTCTTTGGCAGTAAGGCACCCCCACCCAGCCAAATTTTTTCCCCATGGTGATGTCAAGACCTATTTTTAAGCAGTTACCCATTTACTCACCTACATGGTGGAACATCTGCAAGCAGGTTCCACCTCCCATCCCATCAGCCCACCTCAGGTCATCACCCTGTTGTGGGGTGTAAGCTGCTGTGACAGCAGCCTTAGAGACCATGTCCCACCCCAGGCAATTTGGAAGTCATATGAGAAGCTGGACACTGGGTTCCTGGTGGGGCCGAGGGCACAAGGTGCTGCTGGTATTATTGGTGTGATGACCTGTGCCACCACAATCTGCTTGTATAAGGAAGCTCCTGCACCTCTCAAGCAAACACCAAAATGCCATTACTTCTGACAAGCCTTTATCATGAGCTTTCTCTGAATTTTTTTGTTTTGGAGTTTTACTTTCTAGTCTGTAAGGATACGTTGTGATGTTTATGCAGATTTTTATAACTTGGATGTAGTATCTTTCCTCATGTTTAAACCTGCCAATGCTAATTGTCTTCAAAATAAGAAATCTGCTTCCTTAGTTACCAAAGTTGAACTGAAATTTAAAATAGCTTGCCAGAAATTGGTCTATGACTGAAAGTTCAGAATAATTTACTCCATATATATGTTTACACTGCAGTGCTTTCCTTTAAGAAATATGTGTATATGCATGCAGCAGCCCATTCTACCAGTATTGTAATTGCTACTGCCATCAAAGACTGTCTGCGTATATGACTACTCAAAAGTATTGAAACTGTTTGCTAGAGTGCTCCAAGCAGTTTGTATAAATAATTGAAAGTATCCTATTTTCCGTTCTTAATACTCTTGTCATCTTCAGTTTTATCAGTTAAAAGAGTGTTCTCACTTTTCTAATGCAACCTTGTTGATGTGAGAAAGAGTGTTGAGAGACACTTTCTGTGTGCTTTGACTTTCTGTGTGCTCTGGCTAAGCAGATTTTTTAAGAAAATGCTTAAGGTGTGTTTGGACATCAGTATGGAAAGACATTTTAACCATGTTTCATAAGTGGAAATTAACACTGAAAATAAAATTTTATCAGCACTGTTAATTACATTCAACCTTTTAGCTGCACTATCAGAAGTTATTTTTCTGTTCTGTATTACATCATGGCTATCTCAAAAGGTTTTGGTTTCTTTAATACTTGCATATCAAGCAACATCAGCAAAATAAAATTTTTTGTTTTCTTTAACAAATTGGGGTTCTTCCACTGTAAGTATTGTTTTTAATTCTCTTGTGCTTCTTTGATACTGCATTGCATAAAAAAATCTAAAAGGAAAGTGAACACTGCCGTGCTCTGCCCCTTTACCAATACTTAGCATATGCAGTGGTTAAACTGGAAAGTTCTACCCAGTGTGCTACATTGGTGTTCAGATGGGTACTCACAGGGTGCAGCTTTGCTTTATGTCCCATAGCAGTTTTATGGTTTAAATTGAGGAAGAGTTGAAGACCGGGTTATCCCTGCTGTGTTACTTACATCAGTAGGAAAGTTGCCCTTGGCTTTAACATTTCACTGAGACATGAGCTATGGATCCGCTTCCATCAATGGACAGATGTCTCAGCAGACTCTCCCAGGCTTGTGCTGAGTGTGCCTCAGCCCCAGAACACGTGGTTCCCCTGCTAAGGGGTAAAGCTGTCAAAGACTTTTTTCTCAACCTAAATCAATCAAATGACCTTTTGGGAACCTAAAAGAAATTAAGAACTTCCTTTTTTTTCTTTTTTTTTTTTTTTTTTTTTTTGCTGGGAAAGAAAATTCAAGTCCCATATTGTCCATGCTGCTATGATGGTTTTCATTGACAATCAAAGCGACCAAGTAAACCTAGTCCAAGCATTGAATGTTTTTGTTATTTCTCCAGTCTGTTTGCTTTCTTGTATATGTACATGGAAGTATGAGGAAGCGGAATGATGAGATAAGGGCTGAATTTCGTTAGGTTCACTGGTGATTTGTGAGAGATTCTTGCTGGTTTGCAGACCGCTGCTTGGGAAACAGCCATGTGAAAGATGTTCTCTCAGCTAGGTTAGAAGTAAAGCTGAGACCAGAAAGGACACTTGTGATCCAGCACAGAGGGTCAGACACCAAAGTGGAGTTTCCAAACCTGAGGCTGCTCCTGTGCTTGGCTAAGCACAGAGCCCCCACTCAGCTTGTCCTCATTTGGTAAAACAGTTAAACATGTCTTGTTTGCTTGAACATGTGCTTCCTTTAGACCCACTGATGGCAGTGATCACCTGTTTTAGTGGACTGGAAGCTTGTCTTTTGATACATAAACCCTCATTGATGGCCATCTGGTATAGATGCACATGAATACGTTTGCCCATGACATCCCATTGAGCCCCACACTTCTGCCTGAAAACTGCTCATGTGCATAATGTTTGCCGGATTACGGCCTGGCTTTATAACTAATTTAAAAACTAAATGAAATGTTTCTTCTCCAGAAGGGAAATTCTGCTGCAGAAATGTGCATCACGCAGTTGAGACATTAAAGGTTTTAATATCCAAACTCCATTAAATGAATTGTTTGATCATTTGCAGAGGATTCATTGCTTTCTAAGAGGCCTTTTGTCAAATAAGCGTTTCGCAAACTAAGCTAATCAGCTCTGTTCCTGTTTATAATTCTCCCACTACAAATATTTATGTTATAATTTCTCCTTCTGTTTTCCTGCCTGTCTAAGCACAAGCACATTAAAATTTTTCTGGCATGCCATACCTTTCAGATACAATAGAAAATCCTAAACTCTCTGTAGTTTGTAGGCCACTACAGAGAGCTGAACAGAACCAGCAGAAGAGACAAAGGACTGTGTTAACTGGTGCCAGTTATATCCCTCCTCTCTCACATGCTTTTTTGCCTCCCCCGCCTCAGCCCAGTCCTGCCAGAAGTGATGCCAGAAACTATACCCCATGCACTGTTCTTGTGGTGCAGGGTGGCTGAATTTGGAGGGAGGATATTTGGCTTTTTGTGGAAGATAAGACCACAATGCTGGGGGTCTCCATCATGCTCCTATCTCCAGGTTGGCCTGCTGGCCCTGTGCCCAGGCAGTGCGGGACAGACTGCCATCCAGCACATGTACTCTCATACCCCCTGGCATGGCAACCTGGGGTGCAAGCCCCATGAGGTGTCCCAGGGCACGTGTTTGCTGGCACTCAGCATCTGTGGCTGTCGATAACCAGAGGAGGTGACTCAGAGCTGACTGGCATGTGTCCGTGCACACACATGGCAGTCAGGAGCTGGATGGCAGGGCAGGGCAGGGCATCCAGTGGGCACATCTGTCCCCTCTTTGCTGTGCCCCTTGCTGCTTCGGCATCAGCATCTCCCTATGTGCATTGGTGTCACTGGGCAGATGGAGTAGCAGGGAGGGGAAGTGGCCACCCCCTGTGCTCCTTGACCCCCTCAGTGTCCTCAGCTCTGAGGTCCTGAGGGTCAAGGTTGTCAGAGCTCAAGCAGTGGCACTGGGCATCCTCTGCATGCAAGGGGTACATGGACAGCCTGACAGAGACCTTTCTGTTCTGTGCCAAGAGTTATCAAGCAGCACAAGACAATTAAACTTCACTCAGTGTTGAAAGCGATGCAGGTAGCATTTACCTAAGGGGCCAGGAGAAGCTTTTCTGATGAGAACAGGAGCACTGCTTGTCCCACCTGACTAACCTGTGTCTTAATTGTGCTTGTTTTCAGGCATTCACGATTCAGGGGCAGTATGCCATCCCTCATCCAGACGTGAGTCCAGCACATGTAAATTACTCCCTTTTTGTTCCTTTCCCTCTTATTTGTTCTGGGCAGCATTTGCTTTCTACAGGTAGCAATAAAGACACGGCCTAAGGACACCTTTCCTGAACAACACACTGTATAGCCAAGTGTTAGCTCAGCTGCATCTCTTACCTTGTGTAATAATTGCTAGAAAGTACAATGGCCCAGGAACAAATGACAGTTATCTTGGTCTTTTTTCGCATGTGATATATTTGAGTTCTTTTAATATGTAATCCTACAATAATTAGTTAATATTAACAACAGCCATTACATGTAATAACAGTAGAGATGTCATTTATAACCAGTTTGGGTTTTCTTTTTTTCCTCTACGGTAGACTAGAATGAATTATTAAACCTTTTTTTTTCAATATAATTTTAATTAATCCAGTTTTAGAACATGTAAGATGGTTTCTCTGCTCTGAAATAATTCCATTTGATTGGTTAGTTCTAATTTCCCATCCTGCCCTGCAGTTGACCAAGCTTCACCAGTTGGCTATGCAGCATCCCCCCTTTACTCCCCTTGGGCAGACCACCCCTGGTTTCCCTGGTACGTACCCATGACCCCCTGGGGATGTCCTTCTTCTTAACAGCTTTGTTTCCCGTGGTCATTACATCATTTTAATAATAAATGTGGTCAATGACCAGCAATCCTTCTGTTTTTATACATTAACCTGTCTTCTTCCCCCCCCAACCTCTGTTACAATTCCTGTCATCACTACTAAAACATGCTTTGTTTGTTACTTTTATTAATCACAACTGCTTCATTTGTGCCATTGGCTAAAAGCCCTGAGTTTCTTTTGTTCAGTCCTCATAAAGTTATTATGGACCATACAGTATGTACCAGTTGCTTACAAGTGAAGTACTTGGGCATGCTTCTTGTCCAATTTAGTAACATAGTTCAGAAAGAAACAAAAATGGGAAAACTATATATTCGTGGTACAGAAATACCAATTAAAGAAATTATGGCATGCTGAAACTTGAATTCCTGTAGAGCCAAATCTCTTGAGAGCATCTGTAGTCATCACTGCTGGGACAAGTGCCTCACTTCCTACTAGATAACACAGATAGCTACAAAGTGCAATGGCAGTTTAGCTAAGGACTACAAATTTGTTCTATGCTTAATAAAGCTGAGGCTGAATTCTTGATTCAAGAGTGAGAAGTCACTTAACCCTGCAAATAAACATTTTTACTGTGCTTCACGACATACATGCTTGGTACCTAAAAACTTCAGAGAACAGAGGTGCATATGTGCTGGTACATGCTTTGTATGGCAAATAACATTTTATCACATACATCAAATTCCGTGAGCAACTTGTTTGATATTTTTGTAGAATGTGACTTAAGCATATGCAACTCGTAATTGAATGTAAACATCAGTAAAATGTAGGCAAGTCACTTTTCTGTAGAGTATTTATTTTCCACCTTTTCTAGTTGGAAATTGGTATTTTTGGCATGTCTGTACAGATAATACAATAAACAGCAAAAAAGAGAACATAAGAGAAAGAGACATGACATCCAAAATATTCTTTTTTTTCTTTATGATGTATCTGATAAAATACCTACAAGTGATACTAAACTGCCTTTCCTAGCTTTGTATTTTCCTTATTCTTGTCATTAACATGCTGCTCCCCAATCTTTTCCTGGTTATATTTGTGAGATATACATTTCTGTAATGTCACTGTGTGTTAGAGCAGTAATTCCATTTTTCCTGAGCATTTTCCTTTTGTCCACCCAATTTACAAACAAATGTATGCAGCTTAGAGTATTTTGTCCATTTCCCTTCCAAAATTACCCTTCCCAACATTTCTTCAGCAACTAATCCCACATATATAATTTCCAAATTTTCCTAAGTTAGTTTCCTTGTCCTTACTTTAATTTGTTAATTTTTTATTTTTCATATCTATGTATTATGTTCTGCTAATTGTTCATTTGACATCCACTTTAATTTTCCATATTCTAGAACTCCTGGTAGACAGGTCAAATTTCAGCCATCCATTAATTTCTCAGTTGATGTGTTTAGAACAAACTTTGGAGACTATTTTTAGGGGAAACCCTTCATTTTCTAGAAGCTTTTTATGACCTTGTGGAATCTCATGTAACATTTGTTGCTTTGGTGGGTTAAAGGTTAATTAAAATAAGACTCATTTAAAATTAGTCCAGCCCTCAGAGTTTTGCATCCTTTGCTTTCTTTTCTGTTTCACTAGCAGTTCTCTTTTTTCTTTGCTCCTCTCTTCTCTTTTTTTTTTCTCTCCTGCCTTCTGTATGTTTTCTTCTTTAAAATTTCATTTGTTGTGTCTTGCCCTTCTTGCAAACAGCTGGCGTAACATTTTCCCTCTGTCCCCTGAATAGGACTGGATGCCACTACTCCAACCAGTTCCCATGAACTTACTATTCCCAATGATGTAAGTGGACCAATAGTCCGTATCTCTTTCTCTTCTCTCGCTCCTCTGCCACCAGAGGGGAAACCTCCCATCTTTGGCTGATCTGTAAACAGTAGCCCCCAGAATAAACTGTACAGCATTTAGTCTGTTGGGGAGAGGGTGCTTAGAGGTTAGTGAAATGCTGGGTGGAAGCAGCGGAAGTGACTGTCCCCTCTCGTGTCAGGTCTCCAGCAATGCTGGGTTGGTTGCCTGATGGTGCTGGTGCCGGGGTGCTTCACCGGCTTCATTAAAGCCTGGGTGCCTGCTGCTTTCCTAGATGAGTTCCCAAAACTCATCTCTCAGGTGGCAGCAGCATGGGTGGTCTCAGCAGAAGGGCTAAAGGGGGTGTAAGAACATGCAGCCCCATGTGCTCTGTGTTGGGCTGGAGTCCTCTGTGCCAGGGAGTGGAGAGCTTGCACCACAATGGCTTGTGCTGTACCAGCCCCCACTGCACCTGCACTTATCCAAGGCATCATTTTTCCTCAGCAAAAAAGCTGCTTCGGTTATGTGAAGGTCCAATATAAAGGGTTATTTTTAAAAACAAGGGTTAGAAACACTCCTTCTTCAGCTACTGGGCTGGCTATGATCGACAGGCCCAGTGTCCATGAGCAATATGGTGCTGAACCTTAAAACAGCTACTCAAAATGCCCAACTGATATACTGTGCATCACGTAAAAATGCCTTCCCCTGTTACTCAATTTCATTGCAAACAGGGTTGGGGTTTTTTTCAGTTTTCATTGCAAATGAGTCATTTGGAAAATGGAAGTTTTCCCCTCTAGTAAAAAAAGCTTTCAAGCATGAGTGGGAACACAAATAGCAATTAGACTATTTAAAAGATACTTACAATATTGTGCAAGCCCTATTAAACTCAGTGGCAATGATTTACAGTAAGAAAAAGATACAGAATAACAAAGAAGCAAGGGTGTGAGTGCTGTGACTTCATAAGCTTTCTGTTACTTAAAAGATGCGATTTAGCAGTACCTGCTTTACAACCCAATTTGTTGTATGTTGAGAATTTTATAGGAGCAACCTGTTTGTCCTTACAGTGCAAATTTTTTTAATCTCGCTTTCAGGCAGATCTTGTTCTTGCCATCAGAGATATAAACCCAAGGTCACTCTTTTGACTTCTTTCGAGGTTCATAGCGGAGAAGGAAAAGGAGGAAGTTTGCCTCGGGTCCTGTAGTGGAGTAGAAAATTTAAAAAACCCATCAGTTTCTCATGTGGGAGGTGTGAAATGCCCCAGCTCAGCACTGTCAGTGAAAAGCAAACACACATCCACGCTTTGCTTCTGACAGAAGATTTTTATGGCTACGCCGTGTGAGTCTTGCTGTTGTTGCTAAAGGAGCAAAGTCAAGGCCAAAATGGGGTTAGGCTTAGAAACAGCCTGCACGGGCTCTAGAGGTGGTAAGAGGGAGTTCTGATGTTCACGGGGTGTCAAGGTGTGCATTAAAGCACCGAAGGGCATTAGTGCTGCCCACCAGTGCTCTGTGCATACCCGTGTCTGTGTGTGCACACTTGGTGTTGCAGTGCCAGCACAGAGGGGAAAACAGGCTCCCAGGTCTTATCAGGCATCTGGAGCTGCTTGGGAATTTGCAGGGGGACAACCAGTTTCCCGGTGCATTTCCCAAGGCATTTGCTCTGCCTGTGCCCCAGCCTATCAGAGGTGCCTTGCCAGGCTGTCCTTGGGCTGCATCAGCAAGAGGGTACCTTCCCTGGGGTCTCCCATTTATAGGATATCCCATCACAGCTTCAGTAAGGCTGCTCTCCAGGCAGCCCAGTGCCAAAAATTTTGTATCACACACTGCCTGTGTGACCAGCAGGATCAGGGCAGTGATTGTCCCCCTGTACTCAGCACTGGTGAGGCCACACCGTGCATCCTGTGTTGAGTTTGGGTCCCTCAGTTCAGGGAAGACACTGAGGTGCTGAAATGTGTCCAGAGAAGGGCAAGGAAGCTGGTGAAGGGTCTGAGCACAAGTCCCATGAGGAGCTGCTGAGGCAGCTGGGGTTGTTTAGCCTGGAGAGAGGAGGCTCAGGAGGGACCTCATTGCTCTCTACAGCTGCTTGAAAGAAGGGTGTAGCCAGGTGGAAGTACTTACTTACTTCCCAAGTAAGTGTAAGGTTGTGCCAGGGGAGGTTTTAGGTTGGATATTAGGAAAAATTTCTTCACCGAAAGGGTGGTCAGACATGGGAACAGGCTGTCCAGGGAAGTGGTGGAATCATCATCCCTGGAAGTGTTCAAAAGGACAAAAGAAAGAGATCAGGGCAACAGCAGTTGGGTAATTTGTCCTTGCTTTTCCTAGTCCCAGTCTTGATAGACAGGTCATCAGTGTGGTATAATGGTTATTTATCTGGTTGAAGGTGAAGGAAGCTGCAGGCCCTGGCACAGAGCTGCAGTGCAGCCCCAGAGTTGCCCATGGCCAGTCCCCCTGCCTGCCCCAACTCCTGGGATTCCCTGTGCTGCACGAGTCCCACAGCTTTCTTACTGTACGTGCTGATTTGTGTAAAAGTCCAGCACACATGAGAACAACATGAGACTTGCAAATACATGCTTTGCAGCTACTAGAGAAGTCAGTGTATATCTATATGGGCTACAACATACTCTTTAAAACCAAGATAATGATAAGCACATAAAGCCAAAGCCTCAGTGAGAATAAGGAGCTGAAAGTTTAGCCTAGTCTACAGCAAATAGATATTAATAGCCATTTGCAAATTACCTAGCTTCATATTGAAATGAATTTTCCTCATTCCCTCTGGCATTAAGGCTGTGACAGAATTTTTTTTTATGTCATTAATATTTTCTGTAACAACAGTATGCTGCTTTCTTCATACAGTATGCTGACAGTAGCACCTAACCTGTTGCTTGATAGCAAAGAGATTCTGGAGAATTAAAAAAAAATGTTTTACAGAAGGTTATTTTCCACATGCTAAAAGCTGAGGCTTCCTCTCCAAATAATGAATTCAGAAGATTTGACTTTCTAGGTTTTTTTCATAACCTCTGTGTAACTCCATAAAGAGAACAGAAAGGAAATTTCTCTTGGTCCCTCTCAGAAGTCACTTTGATCCTTACCTAGCATCTCCTTTTGCTCATCAAAACCTCTTACAGGGGCATTTGGTTGCCTTTCTTTCCTTGCTGGGATCTTGATTGTCCTATCACTGCTGCCCAAGTTACTCAATATAAGTGTGTTTCACCTAAATCTGAGAAAAAAGTGGCATTAACAGTGGCAGGTCCTTAAAAGAATGGAAGAAATGGCATCCATGGGTGTAGGGGATTGGACACAGAAAGTAGATGTCTTAAGATTTCATAATTCAATCTTCCAGAATGCCCATTGACAATAAACGAACAAACCAATAAAAATTAAACAATCTGTCTGATTAAAAATTGGCCATATTTTGCATATATGTGGGAGAGACAGGGACAAGTAACGGGAAAGCAACTTACCCCTCCAAAAGCACCAAGAAATTTTAAGATCAGTATTCCATAGACAGAAATGCCAGTCCATCCAATTTGGATATGGCTCACTTGAAGAACTGCCTCTATTTCGCCATGGTGCCTTAAATACTTCCCTGCAAATAACAAAGGGGGACCCACATCAGCAAAATTTTCTTGGAAAATACTGAAAATACCCAGTATCAGCTCCACAGGGAGCATGTGGCACTGCCTGTTCCACCAGCAGTCCCTGGAGGACTGAGCTCTCGTCTTTGCAGATCCCCAATCCACTGCCTGCAATGGGGAGAATGGGCACAATCCATTGAGGAGAACATTAGGGCAGTATCTAACCCTAGCTGTGACTTCCAGCGGGGCCACCCACTGCGAACATGTTACAGGAAAAGTACACCTCACCCTCCATACAGCCCTCTTCCAGAAAAGTCCTGAGAACAAGTGCCACGTTCTTACAAAACTAAGATGCTGGCTAAGTCCATCCCTGCCTCAGAAGCTTTCCAGTTGTATGAGAGGATTTAGAATCAATGATTAGGCAAAGACTTAATAATCTGTACAAGATGTGCCGGGAAAGGTTCTGCAGTAGTGTAAATCAAAGCACTTCTACTGAAAGCAAGGGATTTCTGGATTCAAGCTCAATAAATTTACCTTACTGCTGACAGCTTCCCATGTAGTAGAGAAATAATGCTCAGAGGAAAAACACAGAATTAACCAGATTCTGTCAGTTAGCAATGCCTATGAGGATAGTTTTTGTATTTTTTAATATGTTTGCACATGGCCTGATTTGCATCTCCCCTTAATCTAAGAAAATGGCATTGGATTCCTCAAGTAGACCTGTCCGAATGAGCTCAAGAATCAGTAGAATGATTTTGCAGACTTAATATGTATCAGAGGCAAAGTGAAACCGTTTATGGGATAAGGGACTGCTTAGCATTGAAAGTAATTTTCCCCAGAACCACCTACTGCTCACTTTAGGGAATGGGATGGAAACCGGTGTTGGACCCTCAATAAATTGAAATGCACAACAAATATTGAGTTATAAAACCCAATAAGTAATAAGAAGGCTCATTTCTGAACATGGGTTCTCAGTTTTCTATATGTCTTCTTGCAAAGTCTGTGAAAATTGTTATAATCCAGATTTTGCATTATCCTAGCAAGGAAATTGACATTTCTTTTCATTATTTTTGTTTTGTTTTTAAGAGATACAGAGTATTTAAGCATCTTTTTCCAGGCCCTGCTGTAAGTCTGTAAAGAACTGTAATCAAACCTCAGGAGATTTCTCCCTATAGAGTACTATGCCCTGGACTTTCTAATTAAAAAACCACAAAACAAAAAAACTCAAACCTGAAGCTAAGAAAGCTTGTATAGCTTTCTGAAAAGTGATTGAAGAGTCTCATTGATGATGCTCAACTAATGAAGAGGCTTTGCCAAAGCAAATGGACTTGTTCTGTGTTGACAGAGGAGAACCAAGGGAAACCATGTGTACCTGTGGACAGGTATGGTCAACTGCTCCAGATAGCAGATACCAAGTTGCAGAGGCTAATTCTTTGCCCTTTTTACAAGCACTACATTATAAAAATCCTTTTGCCTTTGAGAAAAGCAAAAGGATTTTTTTTACCAGTATTTAAAAAGAAAGTGATCTCCATGCCACTTCCTGTGGCAATCAATGTTCTGCAGCATTGGACTGTTATTATTAGGCTCTGTCAGTTCTTAAGCATTACAAGAAAGATATCTAGATATATATATATATATAGATATAGATATTTAGCAGTTATATTTACCATTGTGGAGAAATAAAAAAAATGGAAGAGAGGGACATGAACCAGAGATGACATAGTCTATTGGGAGAAAATGTCAGGATCAAGAGTTTGGGAGGACTCACAGCAGACTTTTGAGTGCCACGCGTTAAGAGTCCAGACTCCTGATTCAGTCCAGTTTGCACTCGTACCAGTAGAACTTTACTGAAGAACGGAGTAAAGCTAGAAAAAGGCAAAAAGCGGAACCTCTGTTTTAAACAGTTGTTTGTTTTGGAGTTTTTTTGGCATGAGGAGAAACTGAGGGTAAGGGAAGATGGATGGAAGTGGTATAGAGAAAGTGAAAAGGGAAACATTTTTATCTGGTGCTCACAGTCCAAGAAGGAGGGTACATCAGCTGAAATTTTGAGTTGTGCAAACAAAGGTGATACTTACGACACAGAAGCAAGCTCTGCAGGTCACTGTCGTGGCCCTTGGGCAGCAAAAGGAGAAACAAGTTCAAAAAGAAATTGTCAGACACATGAACTATAGAGCATAAAGGCAGAGATACCAGGTGCTGCTCAGGTATGTAAGCCTTAGGTGGAAATTTGGGATACCAGTGGTAACTTTTTTTTATAGCTCACACTGGTTCTATCTTCTTTTTTTGTAAGGGTGTGCTACTGCCACAGGCTACTGGGCTGGGTGCTCATCTGGTCCAAACTCTTCCACTCACTTCTTGAGAAAGTTAAAATACATGTGGGTATACATGTACATATATTGTGTGTGTGTGTGTGTTATATATTTATAATACATGCATTCACAGAATCACAGAATGGGTCAGATTGGAAAGGACCACAGTGGGTCATCTGTTCCAACCTCCCTGCTCAAGGGTCATCGTAGAGCACGTGGCACAAGATTGTGTCCAGGCAGTTCTTGACTACTTCCAGTCAGGGAGACTCCACAGCTGCTCTATCACCCACACAGTAAAGTTCTTCCTCATGTTGAGGTGGAATTTTCTGTGCATCAGTTTCTGCCCATTGCCTCTTGTCCTATTGCTTGGCACCACCAAGAAGAGCCTGGCTCCATCCTCTTGGCCCCCCTTTTTCAGATACCTCAGACATTGATGAGATCCCCTCTCAGTTGTCTCTTCTCAAGGATGAACAGGCCCAGCTCCCTCAGCTTTCCTTATAATCATCTTTGTGGCCCTCCTCTGGAGCTGCTCCAGGAGCTCCATGTCTCTCTTGTCCTGAGGAACCCAGAACTGGACACAGCACTCCAGATGTGGCCTCACTAGGGCTCCATAGAGGGGTAGGATCACCTCCCTCAACCTGCTGGCAATGCTCTTGCTAATGCACCCTAGGATATCGTTGGCCTTCTTGGCCTCCAGGGCACACAGCTGGCTCATGGACAACTTGTTTTCCACCAGGACCCCCAGTTCCTTCTCAGCAGGTCAGCTCACAGCCTGTACTGGTGCCTGGGGTTATTCTTCCCCAGGTGCAGGATCCTGCACTTGCCTTTGTTGAATTTCAGAAGGTTCCTCTCTGCCCACCTTTCCAACCTGTCGAGGTCCTTCTGAATGGCTGCAAACACTCTGGGGTATCAGCCACTCCTCCCAGCTTTGTGTCAACAGTGAACTTGCTGAGGAGGGATCTGCCCTTTCATCCAAGTCATTGATGAATAAGTTAAACAATACTGGCCCAGTATTGAACCCTGGGGAACACCGCTAGTGACGGGCCTCCAACTAGATCCTGTGCCACTGATTACTATAGTATTATCCTATAGTGTATAATGGGCTTGGTAAATTCTATAGTAGGTTTGGCTCCTCTCCCAAGTGGGACAGAGATAGGTGTTTGGATGCAATTTGACATGGTTTTATCTCAAAGCAAGGCTAGGCAGGTGTTTTTATGTGAAACTAAATGTTCGTGGCTTGATTGATCAAAGCTTTTTAGATGAAAACTTCTTCAAGAATTCATCAGCTCTTGATTATTAAGGTACTGCACAAATTGCAATGTAAGTAACGTGTAATGGGAAAGGCACCCCAGAGAGACCCCCAGCACTGCTGTCCTTCCTGCATGGCAAATGGAGTAGTGTATTCTGCATGAGCAGAATACATTGCGGGTTGTGTCATGGATTGCAGAGTGTGTTTAAGCAGCCTGATGTGACAGCAACAAAGGATGACTTTGGAGAGCTTCAGATGAAAGGTTACCAAACCTCTCTTTGAGATGCTTGCATCACCAGTATCCATGACCGGTCTGGACTGAATCCTTACTCCGTAACTCAAAGTCAGCTAGGAGATTGCAAATTCTTTGCACTGACCCACCTGGGTTACAAGATGGGGGTCACTGGAGGACCTCCAGCACATAAAAGTGGCAGCTTCCTGAATGACCCATTAAGTGCCTTCTCTGTGCTCTGGTTGCTCTCTTGTCCTGCATTACCTTCACTACCTGCAGACCAGTGAGACTGAGGTGTAGGAGGTGGAGGCTTAGGGATCCCTGTGCTACCAACAGTTGGCCAATGCAGGCACATTTGTGTGCACAGACAGGCTGGAGGCTCCCTGGTGAAGCTCAGGTCAGTCCTCTGCACCGGCATGTGCAGTCACACTCTAAGACAGGTCCTTGGGATAAGGACAGGGAGCTCAGCGAAGCCCTCCTGTTGTAACAGGATGGGAAATCCTGTGTGCGTTTCCTGCCACCCCATTTCCCCACCTCGTGGTTGCTCCTCTTGTGCTTGGTCTTTGTTTCGGCTACCCAGGTACCCACTTCGGCTTTCTGTTTGTCCCTGAGTGTGAAGCAAGGATTGCGTTGGGAGGCTTTTCTTCTTTTGATAAAATGTCTGGACAATGTGAATCTGTTTCTGGCAAGTTACTTCAAGTACTACAGTACCAGAAAGGGGAACGTGTCAGGGCCTGAAGCAGCAGGAAGGGTTGAAGGGGAAGGCAATCTCTGCATTTTGGCACGTCCTTCTGCAAAACTGGCAGCAACATCCCAGTGTCAACAGATGTGTAGAGCAAAGTTTCCGTTTTCTACCCGTTCTGGCCATTGCTGAGCTTCTCAGCACCCATCCTTCCTTAACACAGAACAAAAGCCTCCTCCTCACCCTTACAGAAACCAAAACATCTCTGCCTCACCTGCTGGCTCAGTGCCTACTTGCTGGAGGAGCAACACCCCGGTACACACATGCCCACACAACACACAACTCAGGCTCAGTTTTATTCACAATATATGAGTTTTGGTAAGCGTCTGTAAAGGAAAGCAGATAAATTTCAGTCTCTTCCTATGCCTGCTTCTGCCTGCAGTTACAGAGCTGTAAATCCCACTGACTTTAATCATACAGTACCTGGCCAAGTAAGAACCACATGTTCCCAGGGAGGTCTAGGACTAGCAGTGCACTGGAAGGGTACAGAGCTGCACGTGGCAGCTTTGGATGGTCAGCCTGACTTCCAGCTGGTGTTCTTGGCTTGCTGCTGCCACTGGCAAGTCAGGCTGGGCTGTGTTTTGTTTTCCTCAGCACCATGGCACACTGCCATTTTCTGCCATGGGAGATAGCAAAATAGTCTGAGAGTGAGCTAATAATAACCACGTAGCAGCAGAGCTAGATCTAGAGCCATAGAGCCAATAGGTTGCACCAGTTACCCCTTCCAAACAGCACAGCAAAAATCTGTTTTGCTACTGAGCTTTTCATAACCATGTTTTTAGCAGTACTACAGATTGCAGTTAAGTGGTTTTTGCTTGTGTCTGTGGCACTAATCTCGGTCTTTGTCCCACTCCAGTTAATAGGCTGCATTATTGGCAGACAAGGCAGTAAGATAAATGAAATCAGGCAGATGTCAGGAGCGCAGATCAAGATTGCTAATGCCACAGAAGGCTCCGCAGAACGACAAGTTACAATCACAGGATCCCCTGCAAACATCAGCTTAGCACAGTACCTCATTAATGCAAGGTAAGTTTGCTTTGTAAGTGATCATGCTTCTGCGAGGTTGCTCTGTCTGCTCTCCAGCAAATGTCTGTCCTGGGTAGATCCAGAAAGTTGCTTTGCAGTGTCCATTTCGCATAGTATTACTCAATTCCTAATGGGTTGTAAAGCCTGAATCATTAGAAGCTGTGTTTGCTGTTGGTTTATATGGAAAGGAGCTTAATCTGGTGCAATTCCAGGTACACGTTGAATGACAAAAGCTGCAAAATCTGAATACTCATATTATCATCCACCTAAAATATAAGCAGATAAATTAAATTAAATGTCAATCATAAATGCTTTAGAAGAAAATACTTTTCACAGACGCATTTTACTGTCCTAAATGGCAAATATAGTGAAACAGATTGCAAAACAGATTTAATTTACCAAGTGGAAATTGCCACTCAGAGTTGATTTCAAACTGACATTTGGTTGCTCAAAAGGCATGGGATTTATTTTTTCAGAGGCAGCACCACAAATTTGTAAGAAGCATTCCCTAATGAGACACAGTGAGACTCCCTGCTTCTTCACTTCTCGGTCCCAGAATTATTGAAAGCACTGGCTGTTTAGCTAAGCCATGACAATGGTTAAAGTGTCTAACAGTTTTTATATGATTATATAGAAAAATATTAAAATTGATACCGCCTTTATTTGCAATTATCCAGAGAAGAAAGTGCAATGGATGTAGCACTGTCTCATAGATCTACTTGCAAACAGTGGACTGAGACAATATATTGTGGGGGAGGGGGAGTATCTATGTATTTTATGGCTTTTTTTCTTTTATTTTTTTTTCCCCCACAAAAATACTGTGATATGAATCAAGCTTTGTGTTTAACTATGTTTGCTGTTAAGGTAGTACAAAGCATGTGATTTATGTGGGGGCTGTAGTCATAGCAGGTCTACAGCTTCCTATGGTCCAACCTCCTCTCCATCCCAGTTGTGTAGTGCACCAGTGAAAACTACTGTAAATGGAGTGGAGGACGTTTGTGCAGCTCTGTGTTACAGCAAACAAAAATACTACTTTTTATAATTCAGTCTGAAAGCAGTTTCCTAGGGAAAAAATATATTGAGGGGTGGCACTGTGAAAACTAAGATAAGCCGTTTCCAGAATCTTAAAACAACCTACAGCTCTTTTGATTTATATTCTTTGTAGCAAATATAAGTCACTTCCGTAAGCCCTGTAATCAAATAAAAATGTGTTCCCTCCTTTAACCCTTAAGGATATGTTCTTCTCTTGGTGTTCAGGGATTCCCCACACATCGAGACGAGAATAGACCCCTTCATTTTTAGTTGCACAAACACCATATGGCATGCATCTGGATCTCGGAAGATAACAATTTAAGATCTTCAAGACAGCTAAAGCATGCAAATAAAGTAATGCACTTATTAATGGAATTGCAGTGAGCTGCTCACCAGAGACAAACTCTAGTGAACAAACCTGTTTGACTCACTTTAGAAAAGCCTGTGAACTCTCACACTTCTGTTGATTACTGTCTAATGATTCTTTTGACGGAATGGGATCTATATGAGGTCTTTTAACATACTTTCGCAAAGAAGAAAGCTTCTCAGCAGTCATATACTACGGATACTCAATACCCTGTGAAACCAGAAACAAAATATTTTCTTCTTGTTAAATTTCTAGATAGAAGTCATTTGTTACCATCGTCTACAATAAACCATCATATATTATTATGTACCATGTATTGAAACTGTATTTAGATGAAGTGACTTCATTTGTAAATGAAGACCTTAAAGTAATGTTTAATAAATTAAGCTGTAAGGTAACATAGGAAATTAAGGTGGCTTTTTCATTTTAAAAAGTGACACTGTTCCAGATCTCTCCTTTCGCAAGAGACACTCCTGTCCAGCCAGGTGCCACCACAGCAGCAGTGCTTGGTGGCAGTTGCACTGGAGAAAGGACTGAGAAACTGTCAGGCAAGTGGGAGGTTTGCTCTAGCTGGGGTTTAGGTGCTCAGGCAGGTGTCCGAGGGTCAGAGCCAGGCGGCTGCTGCTGCTGCTGCTTTTGCTGCCTCTGCGTGCTGGGGACGTCTCAGGGTTATGTCAGTCCTAAACAAGTGATGCCTTCTCTTTTAAAGATGGTGGCATAAAACAGCACTGGGGAAGAGATGAGTACAGTATAGTACTGCCCAAAGTATAGTCTCGTATGGGAAAATAATAATTATAAAAAATAAAAGCCATATAAGCATTCAGTGTAAGGTAGACTTTTTCTTTTTTCTCCCACACCAGATCTGTTGTTTATGGAAATTTGGTTTCCAGGGCCGGTATTTCTGCATAAACCAGTGTCTTTCAGCAGCATAAGATGTAAAAAATCAAAACTAATCTATCCACAGTAATCCTGAAACATTCTGCGTGTATCTTTAAACTATCCTCCAACCAAAGTTGCTATCTATAGAATAATTTATCAAATTGCTTTAAGACTTATATTGCAATCTGGTGTTGGATATGTACATAGTATACTCTAAATTATAGATATATAAATATATTGATACAATATCAAGACAGAGATATAAATATTTCTAAAGTATTGTTTTGATTCTGTGTTATCTGAGCACTGATCTCTGTATGAGTAGAACATGTCCTAGTTTGTTTGCAGTAGAACTGTCTTATTTCCTGTAAAACCTTCTGTCTCTTAACTGGTCTCCACTGTAGTAACTGGATTTTCATTACCCAATTCCATCTTCTAGCTTTTATTAAGAACGAACCGTAGTTTAGTTTTCCTGTGTAAGACTCAGCTTTGGATTATAAATGAACTGTAGCCAGCAGCACTTGCTCCTTGTTGAAGGGCAGATTCCTGAAAGGTATTTTTTTACTGTCCTTTTCTCAAGGGGTTCATTCATAGAGCTAATAGGACTGCCAAAGCCACATCTGAGCTCTATTCTTTTCAACAATTTTGGGTGATGCAGGATGTGGCCTTCAGTGTATATATTCAGAAAGCAAAGGGACAGTGTAAAATTGTATGAAGGCTGCCTCATCCACTTTCACATTTAATTTTATTGCATCCACAACTGTTTTGGGAAACTGCCACTGCCATGGGACAACTGACAGTTAACCTGATGAACTTTCCCCTTATATGTTGCCCTTATGTTTCCAGTAACAAATGGGAAGCAGGGCAAATTACTGCTACAATCATACCTGCGTGAGTACACCAGAGACAGGGAGTTTGAATGGCTGCTACCAACACCAGCATTTGGTCTGTGGGATCTGTTCTCCTTGCTGGCGCAGGAAAAATCTCAGGCTCAAACACCTTGCCATATCAGTAAGGATTTTTTTTGTTTCTGTTAAATGCACAGTAGGCAAATTTGGAGTCACTGAAACACTTGAGTCCTGCATTATCTTTCTATATGCCTCCCTACCAGAATAATACTGAGTCATATTAAAAAATCCAACTGAGTTTTTCAAAACATACAGGGTATCACATATAACTCCTACACCCCCAAGTTGAGGATGTACACTGGAATTGGATTCACTGATTCAGTGGTCTTGATGTAAATCCCTCAGTCTGAGTAGACTGCAAGTAGCATGTGCTGACAGCACAAGGATGCTCTTCTCTCTGCAAAGAACAACTCTGCTGCGAGGGTTAGAAAAATTCTGAGTTGCTCATCCATGGGGACAGATAAAGACCACCAGGGAGGAAAATAAAAACTTTACCTCCCACAAAGCACTCTGCATTTCATGCAATCACCCTCCTCCCCTCCCATCTCCTCACAGCTAATGGATGCCTTCCAACTTCCCAGCAAAAGCCGCTGAGGAGTTAATATTCCAAGAGCCCTCTTTCACAAGAAAGAGAGAAGCTCAGTGCTTAAGCTCTCCCTCTCTTCTCCATTTTCCTCTCCCCAGCTCAGACCCCTTCCAAGTATCCTTCAGACTTGCCCTCAGCAGCAGTGCTTTGGGAAGCTCTAGTCCCATGTCCCCATTCCCTACGTTGCGCTGGTTGATCGCTTGCATCCTTGCAGGAACCTTTCTCTGGCTGTCAATAGCCCAGGGGCTGTTACTCTCAAAACTGCGTGTAAGTCTAAGGTGAGGAAAAGCGACGTTCTTGCAAGCCCTGTGTAGGGTGATCGTGCTCCCCTCCCAGCCTGTAGCCTGGCTACAGCTGCTCTGCAGGCCTGCACACCCCGTCCCCAACAGGGACCAGCACAAACCCTATGCTAGGAAGCCTCATAGGGCCTGATGTGGTTTGGTAAGAAAGGGGCAGGTCCTCTGCAGAGACAGCTAGCAGCTTGTTTGCACTCCACTCTGGAGGGGAGGAGCTTCTGCAGCTCCTCAGATCACCTAAGCAGAAAGCCCAGGAACCTGACAAGTTAGTAATTACCACAAAGAAAACCCCAAACTTAATAGGAATATACATATATCTGTAGCTAGCAAAGATTTCCTAGCCCATAGTTCTATTTATATGCTAGGTTGCCATAGCTCACAGCTGGTCACCTGCAAAATGCATCCTGAAATTAATACTTAGGTTATTTGCTGGCCCAAAAGCCAGTGCACAAGCTGCAACAAACAAACAGCAAAGGGAGGATTTATTTAGGCAAACATTTTGTCATCTGAAAAAAAAGATGCGTCCTTGGAAATACTGTCTAAAAATGTACAGAAAAGCAGGAGTATGTGGGCCAAACTCATCTCACTGGCTGATGGGTGGAGTTAGGCTAAAGTGACGGTGGTTTGATACCTACATCCTCCAGAAAGAGCCCATTGCTGCCTTGGGCTCAGAGGTTGGGTCAGTCTTGAACTTCCTCATGCTGTTGGGGTCTGTCTGAGGATATGTATGTTGTATCCATGTAGTACCTTGTCTGTCAGCTGGTAAGCTTTTTCATGTTCACTGTAACCACTGCCACAAGCTCAGAAAGGATACCACTGCTGTGTAAGCCGGGGTGTTTTTCAGTGTTCCTTTTTTACTAATTAACTTATAATTAGGTTGCATAAATATTTTGTTGTGATATTAAAAAGTCCGGGGGAAGTACAAACCGAAGTGAACACACTGGCTAATCTGGTTTGTTTTATATGAAAAATGCACACTGACCTCACAGTGAATGAAATTAAAAACTAACTTGCTTAAAAAAAAAAAAAACCAACCAAAACTTAATGCCTTAAATGGAAGCAGCAAAATGTTGCTCAGTCTCCTCTCATCCTAGCAAAATGACAAAGGGTACTATTTATGTCACAAACTGACAAATTGAAAAAATTACCAAAACCCCCCGCGTCCCCCTTTCAAAAATACCCTAATTATGAAAAGCAAAATTCACCATATCAGTGCTGGGGAGTAAACTTCATAGTTATTTTAAGTTTTCTCTTAAGTTTCGTTTTTTCCATCTTTTTGCCATTACCTGCATTCCTTAGATTTCTTTTTTCATGCGTAAAATGAACTAGCAACCCCCCACCCTCCTTTTTTTTTCTGTTCCAGAAGAACTTTAGAGTCTCAGTAGTGTTTTCACCATCGAATCATGGAAAACCCTTTTGTTATTTCTCTTCTTTAACACATAACATGTTCCTCCTTTGACCCTCATTTTCCCTTTTTTTCTCTCTCTCCCCCTTCTCCCTCCCACTCGTCTGTCCCCCTCGTCCACCGATCTAATCCTGCCCTTTCGTGGTTGCTGTCCTTCCCTCCTTCCTCCTCTCCCTCCTTCCTCCTCCTCCTTTTCCTCCTCCCGGCCCCACCGCCCTGGCTGAACCCTCCCAACCTGTTTGTTCCTCTTCCTCTCTTCGTTTGCAGCTTAGAGATGGCTAAAGTCAGCACCCAGACCGCTTCCGTCACGACCCCTGTTGACCTCAACATGAACCTCTCTCAGTCTGCCACCCCTACCTCCACCCCCACCTCCATGGCCGTGCTGGCGGCCGCCTCCGCCGTTACCGTCAGTACCCCCCCTCCCCTACCAACTCTGCCAACCACCCACTATGCCGTTCCTGTCTCCAGTCTGCTTGGCATGAAAACTGTCCCACTCCTGGCACTAAATGCCGCGGCCGCTGCGGGGGCCACGGGGAGTTTGTCCGCTTACACTGCCAAAATTCCTTCGACGAGCGGGGTTAAGAAATCTGACCGCCAGAAGTTTGCTCCATATTGAAGGGATGAGACACACAATGCAAGCTTTGCCAGCTCTACCAAGAGTCTGTGGTAGATCCTAGTTATCAAGGAAACAATACGGCATCTTTTATTTTCTGTTAAATTGCTAGTGTTAACTGTTGCCAACTCAAGTCGTCTTCTGCTCTCCATAACAACTAACACCCAGGCACCACCTACCAACTAGTTCCAACAGCGAGCAGACACCAGCCCGGGCTCCTTCTCCCCCAACACTGTCCCTCTGGCAGGGCGGCAGCCAGGCAGGGTTGCCCCCACCCCAGCCAGGAGAAATGTGAGACAGAAAAAAACATAAATGAGGCAAAATTTTGACAGCCAGGTCCTGCTCCAGCAATACTGCCTGGCATATAAATACACTTATTTGCAGGTATTCCTCCAACTCCAGAACAGTTCCTTATGGCAAAGTGGCATCTCTGATGACTTTTTCTCTTGCTAGGACCTGCAAATCTGGCACTTGTGACGATCACTAGTGCCCCTGAAATCCCACATGAAGTGCTGTTGGCCCCCTCAATCGTTCTTCTGCTCCCAGTAGGCTTGAAAATCCCTGTCCCCCTGCCCTGAGACCTGCCTGCGAGCAGGAGAGGGAGGCTACAAAGTACAAACGTCAGGTACTGCTGCATACAAAAAAAAAAAGTACAGATGAAGCTTTCTGGTCTGACAAAAACTGCTAAATTAAAATAATTGGAAAACAACAAGGAAAAAAATATCGGGTACCTGTGCCATTCTTTTAAAGGGTGCGACAATTTTTCTCTGCTTTGGAAAAACATATTTTTAAGAACTCTGCTTTAGGAAGGGAGAGTGGGAGGGAGAGCAGGCTCTTTGTTTTGCGGTCAGATGTTTTATATATACTGACAAAGTACTTATTTCTTTAAGTACTTAAAAGCAGGTGCAAATCAGATATGCAGTCACTATTCTGGTACCTCCTCCCATGTATATTTTATTCAGCCAAAATGACCTTTTTTTTTTTATGTTAGGTTTCTGTACAAAAGACATCCCTGTCTAACTCACCACCAGTAATGCAGTCAGGTTGTATTGTAATCATGAAAATGATGTAGCACTTATCAAAGGTCATTCAGAAGTTGCTGCTTGGACAGATACCATCCCTTTAACAAGAACTTAAGGATGTTCTGATTACAGACACCTAATTGCAACCAAAGCCAAGAGAGCTGGGGGATGGAGTGGCTGGTTGCTAGCTGTTGGAACTAGTTCTTAACCGCATTTTCTGTTTGTCCATCCACCTTCCTTTTAATTTCTGTTGCATAACTCAGTAATGCAATATTGTTTTCCTCACCACTTCCAAATCCAGAATCCCATTAGCCTGCCATGTTCATCCACTTTGCACTCCTTGGACACAAAGCTTTAACAATTGAACTGTATTCAGTGCATTTTAATATAAACTAAAAACACAATGCAAATGCAATACTTTTTAAAACATGGTATTTCAAAGTGTGTTATTGTATAGGGCTAAGTACTATCTCAGTATTTTGTGTCATTTCTGTATTCTGTGGGCTTTTCTTCACCTTAGCACCTTTGCACTAAGTTTTGTCACTGTACTCATTTGTAGACCTGCCATTGTTAAAGTTTGCATTTATCCAAATGGGGTTTTTGGTTGCTTTTGTTGGGAATTTTTTTGTTTTGGTTTTTTGTTTGTTTGTTTTGGGCCTTTTTTCGGTTGTATTCTTTTTTTTTTTTTGATTGTATATAATGAAGGAAAAACTGGAAATAATTTCAAGGTACCACAACTATTCAAAAGCTCTAGAAAACTGCTGTAAAACTGTTCTGGGCTATTGTAACTGTTTCAGTAATTGACATTTAAGAAAAGAAAAAACAAATCACCAACCTGTGTCAGAAAACTTGCCTGCACTGAAATGCTGTTCTATGCTGGTTGTACTCAAGTGGTATTTTTTTAATAGTGAGAAGATTTTTTTCTTTTTTTTGCCTTTTTCTTTTTTTTTTTTTTTTATTTTCCTCATTTTTGTTCCTACATTTTAGGCTGTCTTCAGAAGTTACTGGCCTGGGGGCTCTCTAATGTATCTCTTCATGCCCTAGTGCATTAGCCACCAGACAGGACTTTTCCAAAGCCCCATGAGACAATGCTTTCTATGGACTAATCTACAGAGGAGTTTCTGCCATTTCTAACTTTCTTATTATTCTGAGACATCAAAAGAAAATACTTCTTTACTCTTTAAGCAACTGTGCTTCCTAACTCTTGTGTTGCTTTCATTACTGTTCCAGTTTTAACTCTGTTGTGGCTCATAACATAAAGCAAAGACAAGTTATTTTCGGGGGTTAATTTTTATTGATGTTCATGCTTTGGCTAATCTGTATAAAAGCATGGGCCGTTAGTGTTCTAAGCCACTGTATTCAGCTAGAGACTTGACAGTAAATTAAATGAGACGTTTTTATAAATAAATTTTTTTCCTGATTAAAAAAAAAAAAAAAGACGTGGTAGCTTTGTGCATACAACTGTTGTGTTGTTTAAATTTTGTTCTTTGTAACCGAGTTGCTAATTTGTCATTTAAGAAGCACTATTTTATGAATTGTCAAACTAAGATCACAGACAAATCGCTTGTTTTCATTAATGATTAAACGTTCATATTATCACGCTTAAGGTCCCACTGCTCATTGGGAAAGAGTGTAACACCTGTGCAAAAACAGGCAATGTTAGAAAGGATGTTAGCCCATTGTCAGGGATGATGAGGCTTTTCAGGAGTAGATGGAGCCAGATTGTGTAATTAGTAGAGTAAGCAATATTTCTCTAAAACTTTATTTGGTGTTTAACAAAGTTGCTCCTTAAGAACCTCACACAGTGAACAGAAAAGACAAATTTGTCTTCTTGTTACAAGCAGCCACTGGTTTGTATCTCCAATGTTTTCCCAAACTGGTTTATAGATCAGATACTGGGGAAAGAAAAATAAGAACAAAAGAATGAACTTGGGTACTGAGTACAGCATTGCTAAGACCCTTCGTTCTTTCCCATTCCCAGCAGCATTGTTGAGTGAGGCTTCTAGACAGCACTTTCCATTCTGCCAGGAAACTAGCCCAGCAGCTGGGAGGAGCATGGCAATTTGCATTAGAAGAGGGAGAATGGAGAGCTGAGGAGGCCAGGGGACTGTCTCATTCTGCCCTGATACTCTGCTTGAGCAGTTCAGGTTCTCCTTTAGATCTGCTGAAGCACTGCAGTCACAGCCTCAAATTCTCTCTTCACACACAGGCAAAAGAAAGGTGCTGGCCCTGAGCTGCTGTCGCGATCCAGCATCTCTGGCTGCACGCTCTGGCCACCTCTCCTCTTAGGGCACTGGCAGTACTTCCACATTTACTGCTTGCTCTCTCTTCATGAGAAAAGCAGAGTTTTCTGGCAGTGCAAGTGAGTAGCATCCTTAATGACATGAGCCTGATTCTACAACCTTCATCTATTAAGGTCTCTCCTTGCTTCTGGGAATTTAATTTGGGGTCCCACTTCCCTTCCCTGCCCCAGCTGAACTTGTGAGCCATACCACAATTATTTTACATGGTCTGCAGGATACAGACAGCTCTAAAATGTCTGGATCTTGAGTCTGAGCCTGGTACTGTATGACCAAGATGTGCATACAGACTTGCAGATCTCTGTAGAAGTCAATAACTTTTCCAATGCAGATGCAGCCACAGAGCAATTCTTGACAACGAAGGCTGCCAAGGAAGATTACAGAAGAGCTCTTTGCATCCCAGCATCCAGGAAGCCTTACCCAATGTTGACAATTAGCTATTTCAACCCTTAGGTTAAAAGAACTATAGGCCGTAGTACTAACCTTGATAAAATTCTGTTGTTATTATTACTTAAAAAATATTTATATTACTTAGAATATATTTAAATTCGTACTCTTGAAAGGAGAGCTGAAGCTGCTTTTACAGCAGAGACCTCCATAGTCTTCATTTCCACAACAGCAGAAGCTATTTCTATGGCTAGCCTGGCTAATGCAAACAAACAAACAAAAAAATTATTGGAGCTCAACACTAAGTAGGTCAAGATTTTGCTCTCCCAGTAGAGCTGCCAGGCAAAGGGCAGCAGCAGCAGCTCTGTGTTGTATAGTATCTTTCACATTAATAATTCACGTATGCCTTGCAGAATTGGCTAGAAAAGACCGAGATTTAAATGAACTAGTGTAGGGACACGTTTGTGTATGGAATGAGGAGACATAAAAGGACAAAGGAAGAAAAAGAAGTCTTTTAAGAGGGTTTTTGCAAAAAAATACAGGCACAAGTGTGATAAACTCTAGGCTCATTTTAATTTCATTATTTTAGTTGGAAAATATTTCTGAACGGCAAGAAAAAGCTCCTGAATAGCTTTAATATATAAACCGGGCAAACAAAACACTAGAAGGTATGTCTGGAGGGGGGGAAAAATGCAAAAAATAGTACTACCCAGGACAAAAATCTAAACCACTCATGCCCAAGGTAGAAAAGAGGAAGCATGTACCCAATGTGAAAAGGTCACTGCCCACACAATTGTGAGTTTCCAGATGAAAGACAGCACAAATTCTGCAGCTTCCGCATCATCAAATAGCTGTTAGGTTTCTGGAAACATCTCAAGTGAATTCAAGCAGCTCTGTTGTGTTTCTCGAGTGAAAAAAATTGAAATTATGAATGCTGGCTGGAACAGTCAACCAGAAGGAAAACAAAGTTAGTCCATTGTTAATATGCAGAGTGCTTTGTGTTCTCAGGCATAGCCAGAGGGCATCTGTGGGCCCCAAGGTTCATATCTGTGCCAGTCAAAGCTCCTAGGAAGCTAACAGCATAAATCTCACTGGTGCCATCAATGCAGGCACCTGGTAAGGGCCTCAGCCTCAGAAGGCTTTCATGGACAAGGTGGTGTTTGTCAGGTTTCACAAGAAAGTGTTAAAGCGTGTGCTGACCCCTTTCCCACCCAAACCAGGCAGAAATGGAAACGCTGTCGTTGCTTTCATTTTTAAATACCCAACAGCATGAAAAAACAGCGTTTCTCTCATATGGGAAAGATCCAAATCCAGTTTATTCCACAGCCTCAATATCAGCTGAACATATTTCAGCACTACTTATGTACTTGGAACAGGACCTTCCCCTTTTTGGCTGAGTGCCATGATTATCTAACAAGAAAGTCACATATACTCACTAATTCAGTCATTTTACAGGGGCACAGCTTCTACAGAAAAGACTGGAATTGTTAGACTGCTCAACTAGGTCACACAAAGCGGCCGTTCAAAGGACAGCATTGAAAGGAGGGATTTGAACAGAGATCTCTTGTATCCTCCGTAACTGCTGTAGCCACCAATTGTGCAAGGCATTTTTCCTCCACTGTATTTAGATGTCTGCACAAAGGAAATGCTCGCATTTCTTTTCTTAGCTATCAGGCCAGGATAGTTGTAACTGAAGTGATGAACAGAAGATCAGCTGAAGGCAGATACTGAAAAACTGCTTCACACCTGAAATTTCCAACTCTTGGCCTGAGCAATCCTTTCTAGGGATACAAGTACACACCACCCTTCCTGGCACGGCAGTGTACTTGATCAATTCACTCGTTCGATGAAGGAATGCAGGAATTTTGATTAAAGCAGTGTCTGCATCTGTCCTGTGTCCTGGATGCATATGTCCTGTCACTCTACAGACTGGCATGTGTCTTAAGACAGTAACTGAAATGAAAGAGAAGTGTCAAATTCATTTGATGCTACCTAACAAAAGGGAATTTCTTTAACATTATATACTCACATTAAGGTTTCTAATGGCAACATCTTGATTCCTACAGGCTGAATGTCTGATTTTCTAGTGCAAGCTTTCTGAATTCTAAGAAAAAAATTCGGAAAATATTGAAATATTTGAAAATATTTGAATATTACTTCTCATTAGAGTTATTTCTAGCTCCCTGTTTTAAAGATGATAAAATGCAGAGAATCTAATTATAGTGGTATGAAATAAGCAAAATCTGTCTCTCCTCAAATTGAAATTATTGGCAGGTGGCCTGGCAAAAGCTAATGTTAGCATTCTTTTTAATCAGTATTTGCAATTCTGAAGCAAATTTTTAAATTAAATTCTGTGGTAGAGGAATAACAATCACGTTAGCAAATGAGAACGTTGTTTGGTTTGTTGTTATTTGGGTTTGGTTGTTTTTGCACGATTGCTTCTGGCCTTTTTCCACAATCTGTTTTCCAAATACAGACCTTTTCCCACATCTGCTTTTAAGTCATGACAGCAGCAGCAGCTTATTTCTTCCAGGGCAAGAGAGAAGGTAGCACACCGATTACCATTTGTGACTGACTGCACTCACCTGCCAGAGAAGAGCTGATCATGAGCAGCTGGCAGCTGTAGCTGTGGTAGCTGCGCCTGCAGAGCTGCGTCTTGGAACTCCATTTCAAACATTCATGCACCTACAGGCACATACATCCTGGCCCTGCAAGGCACTTAACCAGTTTCACAACCACTGAGCAGGGGAACCTCAACTACTTTTTGGTGCCATGAAATTCCACAGTTCTTAAGTTTGGACAACACTCTCCATTATTATTATCAATCAACGAGGATTACAAATGTTAAGCACCTTCCCCCTTAATTCTGATTCTTCAGTTTTCTGGAAGTCCTGGAGATCAGAGAATTAAAATAGTCTTCTCAATTCCAATTAAAATTTCATTTTTAATAGTGGCTATGGACAAAGCTAGTTATTAGGACTACTTTAATCTTTATTGTTTAAAAATAGAATTCAAGAAAGTTAAGAAATGAGAGAAATTAAGGAAGCACACATTTTTAAAACAATTATTTTCTCTGATTAATAATCAATCTAGCTCAACAGCTCATCAGAAGTACATAAAATTGTTTTCTAAAGCTGAAGATATATTTCGATTATAAACTAATTATGCCTATGTTTTTCTAAGACACAGGAGATTATTTACCTTGATAAATTAGCTTGACTACTTACTAAGGTTAGGATATATCCCTCTTCTCCCTTATAGCCACGCTACTTCCGTTGCTAAAAAGCTGGATGATTTCTTGCCTTCTTGACATAACAGCACACGTAGATCAGTGGTCACAAAGGACAAAGTCACTACTCCCACCATCTTCACAAAGCTCTCTAAAAGCTTTGTTCCACATGCTGAAGAAATGTACAGTTACACAGCAGTAAGATGGGTAAAACTTGGATACAACATTATTTGTAGATCTCTGAGATTCCTCCAAGAGCGTCAACCCCTAAACAAGAAGCAGCCAAGAGGGACCAATGCTGTCACTTCCCCAGCAATGCATACACGCACTGGCCAGTCCATCGTCTTTACTCTTTCAACAAGTTGTGCAAGGTTAATGAATAGAATGATGAGTGATCTGGTGTTTATTCCTGCCATCTCTTCCTAATAATAACAATGGGCTGCACTGGTTTGGATTTCAATGTACAAGCTCCATGCTCTGTAACTAAACTCCCTGCCTTTAGCTTGTTACCACAAGATACCCCTAAAGATGAGGGCAACTGAACTAAAACAGCTGAACTGTTTTAATGCTCAGTTCATTTCCTGTTCATCTGCAGCTGAAACCATGATTTGCAGGTTCATGTACAAGATGAAAGTAAAACTACAGAAAAATGTACAAAAAAAGAGATGTCAGTTATAAACTCAGAGATTTTTTTATACTGTCAAAACATGTATGTTCATGATGCTCAGTGTAACCTGACATTAATCACATCCTGTTTCTCTGACGTTAAGCCAAAGGCAGAGTGGTTCTAAAGTTCAGTGTTAACAAGCTAGGATGCTTTTGTGAGTGGGGTCAGTGAAAAGCAAATATAAATAGAACAGTTAGAAACTGAGCTTAGCTCTTGTCAGAGGGAAAGTGGGGGTCTGTCTTACATTTTGTTTTGAAAAAGACTGTCCATCTCTTAAGACTGTAGCACTCTCTCAGCTCAAAGTTCTCTTTACAGTGATAAATGGATCTAGAGATCTTTCACTGCAGCGTGCCAGGCACCTTAGACATCAATATTCAAGTGTTTCACGCTATAAAAGGAAATTGTATTTCAGTTTTGGTCCAACTAAGTCTTCTCCAGCTTGTCCAAACATTCTTATTTATTTTGATATTCTCTGAATGCTTATTCTCTATTTCAGTACTCTCTGAATATTGCTATTTTAATGACAGTACTAATTCATGTAAGACTGCAGTGTTTCATCAAGCATTTTAGCAGCAACAGCTACTTACATTTAGGGTTATTAAATCAACCAAGACCCAATGACTGTAATCCAGCACATGTGAGCAGGAATAAATGGATGCAATAAACTGCTAAGGACCATTGCTTGAATTTTGACAGCTTTATAAATATAAAGAGCTGAACCCAAGCATCATGGAAATCAGGAGTGATAAAAAAGCATCTCTATCACTATATGGAAAGGGCTCCCACTGTATCAAATCGTTCTTCCAAAACAGGCAAATCAAATATCTAACTTTAGTTTTAATCTTTATTGCTTGGTTCATAAACATCTCTGAGACAAGTAATGAGAATGCCCTCATAAGAGTAAAGCTTGTTTTCTCCCTTTAAAATCTAGCTTTGAAAGTAGAATCTTAAAGGAAAACGTTAAACTGCTCCTTCACAACTTTACTTTTTGATATAAATCAAGCCACACATCTCCTATTTTTTCCAAGTGCTCAGCAAATTTGAAATGTTTTAAGATTTGCTTCATTAAAAAAATAAAAAAGAGACACTTACCCATGCTTAAGGTAGGTCTGCTTTTCATGTCCCAGTCTCGTCAAATTTGTTGGTTCTTCATTTTACTTTATCTGTGTTTATCAGAACAGAAATTAATTTTAGATGCTCTCAGTGCCTAAGATAATATTTAAAGAAAATTTCCAGTATTTACAGCTAGAGAAATTATTTTACCTTCTCAGTGTCCAGTGCAGTACCTTCCTCTCTGGCATTTTGTCACCCTTTCATTTAGTTATGCAGATATGTAACTACTGTATTCTTATCCCTCTGGTTCAAGAAATGTGAGATATGCTACATGATGGCTGCACTAAGCAAAACAGGATACTATAAAGAAAAATATTCAGCACTGCCTATGGCACATCACAGAGTATACACTGTGGAGAAGCTGTAACTCAGCATTTCTGAGCTAGTCCTTATATACACAGAGAAACTGTAACAGATCCTGAAAAAAAATGTACATATTTTATTGGAAGCTGGGGCAATGGACAGAAGAGCACTTAAAATTTTAAGAAAACATAAATGTATAATATTTTCCTTTCCCTAACCCCCCAGTCTCGAAAAACTCCATAGACTATTCAAATCCTTTACTTCTATACACAGTAAGCCAAGTCTCAAAATTACCAAATATAGTTAATGCTTCCAAAACCTCAGAGATTCTTTACAGACTTATTAATCCCACTAAAATACTTCTGGTAAGAAACCAATAATTTTAATAGGAAAGGTGCATTCAATATTGTAAAACATTTGCAATGTACAGTTTTTACAACAAGTAATACACCACTTAGATCTACAAAGATTTTTTTTCTTAAAACTCTTGGCTCTTTACCATCTCACAATCCTCTTTAAATAAATAATTAACAAAAGTGTCTCACTTCTAATAATGGAAGTAACATTACAGATAAAAAGAGTATCAACCATGTTGCAGAAATGCTACAACAATGCCCCTTTCACCCGCCAGTCTTGAGACAGCAAATCCTGCAGTTCTTCTTCATCTTCACTACCAATATCCTCATCCTCTTTCTCTTGTGTTGCTCTTAATCTCATGGCTTCCTTTAGCTTCTCCTTCATCTCGTCTTGGCGGTTACGCAAAAGCTCGACACGGCGATAACATTCACTGTTGAAAAGTAAACCACCTATTAACACTTATGGCCTTTTCACATTAATTTGATCATCTACAGTGCTGGATTTTGCTTCTCCAGCTTTGGATAAAGAAGCTTTACAGCTTCCAATCCATTAAAAAAATAAGCTTTCAAGATGCTACTGCACCTTCTCTGTGTTAATCAGGTGGAAAGAGACCAGAGGAGAGGAGTGATGTGGGCAATCTCTAGCAATGAGATCAAATCCAAATATTTTAACAACTGCAGTACCACCACAAATCATTTTTTAAAGAGCACAGAACCAATATTTACTTCCACACAAGAAGATACCCCATTCTTTCCTCCACCTATGGTTTTCATATGTGACAGAAAGGTGAGACATCAATTGGTTATCAATTTTGATAACTTAGAAGTGGCATCTCTGAAAATAAAAAAGCAGCACAAGTGTTCAGATTCTTTATCTGCTTCCTATGTGCTATAGCAGAACATTTTAAGTAAACATAATCCAAAAGTTTCAGTTTTCCATTTACTTAAAAAGTTCTGTCCTTGAAATATGTTCTGTAACAATTATTCTAGCCATTTTAAACACTGTATTTTGTTGAAAATGCCAACTAGTACCTGCCTGATTTAAATACATCTTTGCTAAGAAAAGACACCAGGAAAGATTACAATCCAGATCCTGTTTCCCCTTGTATATCTCAAATACAATTACTTACAGGGAGTCATAGCTGAAACTTTGAAGGCTAAGGAAAACATTAATGTCTCTGGAATTAATTTGATTTTCAGTTTAATTTGAAATAGCCTGCATTTAAATACAGTCAAAAGACAAAGCTACAAAAACTCTAAAAATCTATTTGTAACTTTTATTTTGGGGCAAATTAATTTCAGTAACAAACTTGAAATTCTCTACAAATTTCTGAATTTGGTTCTGTGTATTATAGCATCCTTAGCTACTGAGAAAAGTGAATCCTCAGAGAGGCAGGTTTAGCTCTCCCCAGCCCTCTGCAGAATTAGATGAACATTGTTAAAAGACATCCCTGTAATACCAAAGCTCAGTTTGAACCCAATGCTATTGTTATTATACACTGATGTGTAGCGTGTAAATCTGCCCAGATGTCTTAAGTGTTGCTTTAATTTTTTGTGTCTTCTTTTTGTTGCAAGGTTCATCAAAATCAGAATTCATCTTTTCAGTCGCTACTACTGCCATTATCACTATTAATCAATGTGTTAAGCTACATGATAATGGTTAACAAACTGTTCTACAAAGCTGTACTTCAGGTTACTTGAGTTTAAACTAATGCTTATCCAACCGCCACATCTACCATTTCAGCAAAACAAAACAAACCACTTCATTAAATGTAGTACATTGTTCAACATAAACTTTAAGTAGACTTTTACTAGAAACAAGCAGAGTTGGTCACAGAGTAGAACATTTCAGTACAGCAAATGCTTTTTAAAAATGTGCAGAGAAATACCAGAGAAATACAAATTAAGACATTTGACAAGGGAAGGGGGGACAGTTTGTTCAAGAATTTGCCTTCTGTACTTTCAGTGATTCACGTGTGTTTTTTCTTTGGAGGAAGTTACATAACTTTGCACCAGAACTCATGTCTTTATTAGGTATAATTCTGCAATTTGAGGGAGTCTGTCCTTCAAATATTCAGGTGATTAATGAAAGGTAGTATCACAGATTAAAAATGGTTTTATCACTCTAGTCAAGTAGCAGTCCATTACTGCTGGAGAACAGAGAGTTTGAGGAAAAATTGATCTACTTACATCTGCTCATCAATTTCTCCAATCTGGCGATCTAGTCGTCCCTCCTCATCATCTTCTGCCACTATTGCTTCTGAAATCTAAACCAGAAAAGCACCAAGAAAATTCACCTTCATCCTGAATTCCACTTTCGTTCCTTTATGATGTCTGTCTTTCCCTCCTCCCTCCTACCTTGAGTTAGTGTCAATCTGCTATATGTATATTCCCACTTTCACAAGGGCAAATACAGAAAAAAAAATGGTATGCTTTGATATGAAATGGAAATGTTTTTTCATAAAAGCAAAAGTAGATTGGCTGCTTTGGGGTTAATCTTTTGATTTTTTTCAATACACTGCAATTTGAAACTGAGCATAAACTAAACTACACACATCCAAAGCCTGAGGTTGAAACAGGAGCTATATCCCAGTGCTTAGGACTTAATTACACACAGTTATTGAACATATCACTTAAATATTCCCGCTAGATCCCGAAGTGTTTCTAACCTGTTATTTTTTTCAGCATATACTTTCTCAAATCTGAATGTCTGGGAGATGCTATGCAATCAATGGTCCACGCATAACTGAGAAGATTCCTCCTAAGCTGAAGAATATCTGAATGGCTTATGCTAGCAAAATGTATCCACCACTGCTTTTGTATGAACATTCGCTCTGTTTATAGTGCTGACGGCTTTAAAATGAGCAAAGATAAATTTTTCTGCATCACTTTTCTTAGCAGTTGACAGATGAGTAATTATTTACAATTAAAATAATTTAAAAAAAAGCAAATATTCTAGGGGAAGACTGAGAACACCAGGTATTCTTTAGTACAGTTTTATATTGTACAAAAGGGCAGATGAAAACCTGCTGCAGGAAGACTTTCCATGCAATGCTAAATAGTAAAAAATGGAAGTACAGAAAAACTGTGGCCAATTCATGTGTCTCACACACAAACTCCTTTGTCACTTTCCCAAATTTTGGGGTTCCTTTCCAGTACATTTAAATTAACCATGAAACCCAGGTTACCTACACTTTATAGATACATTTTG